TTGCATCCAGGTGCAATGGCTGCCTCTCCTCCCAGCCGTACCCGGGAAGGTCGGGCTCTTGGCCTCAGCAAGCATCTCCTGGAGGTTGTCATGAGGCCGCCCTCGGACCCAGGCCGGGCAGCCCCAGAGAAACCCAGGAGCTTGCCTCCGACTGTGGAGATCGGGTCCGGTTCAAGTGGTACCACTACTATGCAGCCCGTGCGGGGCCTAGCCAGGAGGCGAGGAAGCAGGCCCAGAAGCGTGGCAATAAGTCTTCCTCCAGGCCTAAGACGATGCGCCTTCCGTGAGTTCCCGCCACGGAGAAACGGCGCGTTCCCGGGCTCACAAGCGGGACAAGAAATCGTGTAGGCCGGGGGGATCCGCTGGTACCAAGCTGCTCACACCGGGGAGGTTAGAGACGGCGCCGGAGCCATGTGAACTGTTCGCCCTTGGGGAGCCGAGTTCTCGTCTCCCTCTGCCGTCTCACGGGCTCCAGCCCAGGGTTTACTTCAGTCCAGTCGTGGGCTCGCTCCCCGTTCCCCTACGGCGTAGACGGCTCCGCCGTTGGAACCGGGATCCGCCTTTTCAGCCTTGGAGGATTCGGATGGCTTTGGGCACCCTCGAGTAAGCGCTCGGAACCGGTTTTGGAGGGTGAGCCGCTCAGTTCGGTTCGGCCGGCGCAGGAACCCTTCCAGACACGACTGTGTCCTCAGCTCCAGGTGGCTTTCGCTGGTTCCAGGACCTCCTACGGAGGGTGGCGGGGAACTTCCGTATTCCACTGGAGGAAGAACAGGGCAAACACCTGGCCCACCCTCTTTGGTGGGGGAGTTGCCTAGCACTCTCTGTACCAGCTTGGAGTGCAGTAACAACGGACAAGCGGGGCCCGGCTGTCGTTCGACGTGGCTCTACGATGGAGTTCGCAGTGCTACCTCATCCACGTTCCCCCCGCCCTGATCCCTGCTCAGGGACCACGCTCACGACAGCATCCTCGCTGTAGAGGGTCGGCTCCCTACCGCAAAGGGGAGGCGATAAAGCAGGTTCCTCCGGACTCTCAGGGCCTGGGGTTCTGTTCCACGTATTTCCTGGTACCCCAGAAGAAGGTGGAGACCAATCCTGGATCTGTGTCTCCTCAATTACTTCATCCACAAGCTGGTTTCGGATGGTCACGGTGGCAGCCATCATCGTGTCTCTGGATGGTTCACGGTTCTCAATGTGCGAGGTTCCTGTTTTCACGTAGACGTCCACCCAACCCACAGAAAGTTCTTGAGATTCGCGGTGGGCCCTCGGCACTTCCAGTACACAGTCCTACCCTTTGGACTCACCCCTGCTCCATGGGTCTTCCCCAAAGTTTCCTCTGTCATAGCCGCCCACCGCCGGTGTCACGGGGTCTTTAGATTCCCCTCCCTCGACGACTGGCTGCTTGCAGCGCAATCCGGGGACGCCGCCATTCCTCCCCTGGAGGCGAGCGTCAGTGTCGAAAAATCGGTTCCCACGTGGCCCTGGATGTCACAGGGGCCTCCGTCGATGCGGTCTCGGCACGGGCTGACCCACCAAGGGACAGATTCCAGACCCCGCGGGAACTCGTCCCCTGAGTAAGCAATGGTCCTTCTGTTCCGGTCAGGACCTGCCTATCGCTCCTTGGCCACACGCATGTCAGTCACCACCTCCGCTCGCCTCCGCCTTCACTGTCTGCAGCTGTGGCTCCGGAGAGCCAGTTCACCCATGCGACCATGGGCTTTCTGTCATCTACCCACCCAGCCACCCCGAGGTGCTCTCCTTGCTCCAGGGGTGGACGGTCCCCAGGCTGGTCATGCCTTTCCTCCCATCCTCTCCGGACACGATCGTCACGGGCGCATTGCTCGCTGGCTGGGGCACCCTCAGGGGCGAGCATGTGACGCAGGGGACCTGGACCTCTCAGGGACCCAGGCTGCACATCAACACCCCGGGGCTTCGGGCGGGGCGGAGGCCGCGTTGCGTGGGAATGTTCGTCGGCAGCGCAAGACGTACCTCCGAGCAGCAGGCAGGCATCCACCAGGCTCTTGTCCGGCCAAGTGGATGCATTTCACCCCCTGGGCCCGACACCCTCCACACGACGACATGAACATGCCCCTTCTCTTGGGCTCCTGTGCTTGATGATGTCGGGACTCGCTCTCCGTCCCATCCCGGTCCACCTAGCGGCTCTCAGCGCCTTCCACACACACACCCCCCCATGCGCAGACATGCCGTCCGTCTGTCTGCAGCCATTGACGGCCAGGTCTGCTCCGAACCTGCCCGCCCATCGCGCCCCCGCAGGACCTCAACCTCGTTCGCGCGACGTGAATGAAATCGCCCTTCCTCATAGCTATTGCTTCCATGAGACGGGTCAGTGAACGGATCGGGAGGTTGGGCCCCCAAAGTCTCCTGGCGCCTGCACCCCAAGTTTCTCCCAAAGGTCGTCCCCCGGTTTCAGCTCAACCAGCCCATCCACTTCTTTCCGAAGCCTCCCACCTCGGCGGAGGAGCGGCACCTTCCCTTCCTTGACGTCCGCCGGGCCTTGGCCTTCCACCTGCACAGAACAGGACCTTTCCCGACATCCCCTAGACTGCCCGCCCCGTGATCCTTTCGGTTCTAGTGCTAAACAGTCTCCACATGGAGGGTTTCTAAGTGGATTTGGGGGGTGTTCGGCTCTATCCGTTGTCAGGACGGTCTCTACCCCGTGGGGTGAGGGCGCCTTTCCTCAAGAGCGTGAGTGCCGACTACAGCCGCCCTGCGAGACATGATGCTTTCGGACGTATGGCAGTGTGACGGGTTCCCTGGGGTGCAGCCTGGAACTGGGGTACTGCTGAGCCCTCTGTCCCACCAACCTGGGCTCCCTCTCACACTGGCATACTGTGACAAGCTGCAAACCCCTCCAGGTCCTGCACTCACCCAGCCATCCACAGGCAGGGACACACCCAGCTGAGTTACGTAAATGATCTCCCAGCCACTCAGGAATTAACAGTAAAGAGGCTCCGGCCAATTCCCCACAGTTCCCCAGCCTAGGACCCCAGGGCTGTATGGTCCTGCCCTGGTCAGAAGCCTGACCAGTGTAAGTTTATAACTTAGTCCGCCCCTCCTTAAATGCAGAGAGGACGTGCACCAGTTCTTGTTCCTGAGCAGATTTCCCAAGCACTTCAACCAAAACCCACTCTTTTAGGTAAAATATAAAACCGGTTTATTAACTACAGAAAGACAGACTTTAAGTGATTATAAGTAATAAGCATAAAGATCAAAGTTGGTTTCCTAAGAAATAAAAGTAAAATCGCAATCTAAGTTCTATAAACTAGACAGATTTGAATCAAGCCGTGTCTCACCCTGATGGTCTAGTTCCTTACTACACAGGCTGGGATTCTCCTGTCCAGCCTGGGCCCACCTCCCCAGTTCAGTCTTTGTTCTCCAGATGTGTTTCCAGGTGTTCAGTTGGGGGTGGGGGGGGAAGAGTGAGGCCAAGTGATGATGTCACTTCCCCTCTTTTATAGCTTTTTCCAGCCTGCTGGAAAGAGCCTTTGCTATGACACGAGTCAAGCAGCCTCCATTGTCTGCGTGCTCTTTCTGAGAAGTCTCCATTGTATACAGATCCTGGGATAATCCTTGGGAGTATGGATTCCTTTAATGGGCCATCAGCGTGTCTGGCTGCTCCACTGTTGCACCTGAAAGGCTGGTTGTGGGTGTTCCCAACTTCACAATATATTTCAGTCACACACACATATAGAAAAACTTCATAACTTCCCATTCAGTGACGGTACACACAATCCAACAGGGTATTAACGTTCAACAGATCAAGACTTTTAAAGTGATACCTCACAAGGCACGCACTCTACAAACCATATCGTAATCCTATCGCCCTGGTCAATAGGGGGGTGCCAGGGTGTCACAGTCGGGGGGCCATGCGGAGTTCGGCACATGCCTTTGCTGCGCGTTGCGCCTTGGTACGAGGCTCTGCAACGGATGCCTCGTTCGGCACGGCAGGCCTCCATCCTCTTCCTCACACCCTCCTCCGAATTCGGCATTGCTTGGTCATCGCCCTGAGTGGAACGCAATAGAAACCATCACTCGGAGAAGGAGAAGAGGTTACTTCCCTGTAACTGGAGGTTCTTGGAGATGTGTTGTCCCCTATTTGGATTCCAAATCCGCCCTCCTTCCCCTCTGCTGTGGAGCGGTTAGATTCGTGGCGGAGAAGGAACCGGAGACGCGGTCGCAACAGACTCGACTTTCGAATTCTCCGGCTCTGGGCACACGAATACAGATCGGGACCACCCATCTCAAAGAACCTCCAGTTACAGGTACACGACCTCCTCTTCCAGTCCCGTTCACCCACCCCCCGATCTCCTTTCTCTCTTCCCCAGCAGCTACCGGGGCAGCCGCGTTCCCGGCCCCCTGCCACAAGCCGGCCGGCCGCTCCTACCAGTGCCCAGAGTGCGGGAAATCCTTCCGGCAGAGCTCGCACCTCCTCCAGCACCAGACCACGCACACGGGCGAGCGCCCCTACCGCTGCCCCGACTGCGGCCGGGCCTTCAGCCAGAGCTCCGACCTGGTGCGGCACCAGCGTGTCCACACGGGCGAGCGCCCCTACCGCTGCCCCGACTGCGGCCGGGCCTTCAGCCAGAGCTCCAACCTGCTCCAGCACCGGCGCTCCAGCTCCGGCGCCCGCCCCTTCCGCTGCGCCCAGTGCGGCAAGGACTTCGGCCGCAGCTCCCACCTGCTCAAGCACCAGGCCACCCACTCCGGCGAGCGGCCCTTCGGCTGCGCCGACTGCGGCAAGCGCTTCGGCCACAGCTCCAGCCTGCTCCAGCACCGGCGGGTCCACGCCGGCCAGCGGCCCTTCGGCTGCGCCGACTGCGGCAAGAGCTTCCTGCAGAGCTCCGACCTGCTCAAGCACCGGCGGGTCCACACCGGGGAGAAGCCCTACACCTGCGGGGAGTGCGGGCGCGGGTTCAGCCAGCGCTCCCACGTGGTCAAACACCGCCGGGTCCACAGCCGGGGCAAGCCCTGAGAGGGCGGGGGGCGATATGGGGGGTGATCTGGGGAGAGATGGGAACAGATGAGCAGGAGGGAGGTTAGATCGGGAGAAGACGGCCTATGGGGACAGCTCCCACGGGGGACAGCTCCGGCCACCGGACTCCCGAGAGACTCTGCCATGGGGCAGCCCAGGACACAGGAACACCCATCCCCCTCCACGGCACAGACACCCTGACTGACGAGGCGACCGGGGGGCTCTCAGTGCCAGCCGGACAGAGGAAACACCTGGCTGAGGGGGAAGCTTGGGGCTCAGCAGCGTCTCGGCCACAGATGGAGACACTCAGTGGGGAGTTACACACGCTGCTTAGGGTGGGGCGGGATGGTGGGAAGGCGATGAGGATGTCAAGTGGGGTGTCTGCCGTGGGGAGGGGTGGAGGCAAGCTCCCATCTGCCCACTGTACCCCCAAATCCCCTCCCAGCCCCCCCAGATCCTCTCCCCACCCCCTCAGCTACACCCTGTCCCCTCATCCATTCTCTGCACCCAAATCCCTCCCTGCCCCATAGCCACGCCCCCCCAAATCACCTCCAATCCCCTCAGTCATTCCCCCTGCCCCCTCTAGCCATTCCCCTGTCCCCTAAAACTGGATGGGCCCATGGGTCTGAGCCGTGGGATGGTCTGAGGGAGGAGGCGGGATACCAGGCTAGATGGGCCCATGGGTCTGACCCAGGGCTGCGGATCAAATCCTTCTCTCTCCAGCTGGCCCCGGGGTTCCCTAGCTCGGTTCCCCCAAAGCCCAGGCCCCTCTGTGACAGTTCAGAGCATGGTTCCCGGTGATGTCAGCGCCCCGCTGCGAACTCGGGGTGACTTTTCTTCGTCGCCGGCGCGAGGAGACGGCTGAGTGGGGAGCTCGGGGTGGGTCACGCACGGGCTCTGGGCAGGAGGCCAATAAATACAGGCTGAGAGAAACGGGCGCCCTGTGTCTCTGTCTGTCTCTCCGCCCCATGGCCCCCCACAGGGCTCCGCCAGGAGTGTGGAGGGAGAGCGCCCCCTGCTGGGCGCCCCCACCGCCCCGCTCCCTGCAGCACAGCGCCCCCTACTGCCCCACAGGGGCCAGCCCAGCCTGCCGGGCGAGCGCAGGGGTGGGGTGGCCAATGGGAGGGCAGCCACGGGCGTGTCACTGTTTCCTTTCGCTTCTCGGTGCGAGAGGAAGTGGGCAGAGCAGACGCAGCCAGGTGCACCGAGAGCTCAAAGCAGAGCAGACGCCGCCATGGTGAGCACCCCACGGCCTATCGCCGGCACCCCTGCCCCACTCCCCACAGCGGCCCCTGCTGGGCGAGGCTGGGCTGGGGTAGCCGGGAGCTTCCCCCCATAGCCAGCGCCCCTGCCCTGCACCCCCACAGCGCCCCCTGCTGGGAGAGGCTGGGACTAGAGTCGTCGGGAGCTTCCCCCACAGCCAGGGCCCTTCCTGCTCCCCACAGCGCCCTGCCCCCAGCGCCCCACGCTGGGCGAGGCGTGGGAAGCCCAGACTCCTGGGCTTTGTCCCCAGCTCAGGGAGGGGAATGGGGGCTAGTAGGTCAGAGCAGGTGGGGGGCTAGGAGCCCGGACTCCTGAGTTCTCTCCCCGGCTCTGGGAGGGGAGAGGGGTCTGGTGGCTTAGAGCAGCAGGGGCTGGGAGCCCGGACTCCTGGGTTCTCTCCCCAGCTATGGGAGGGGAGAGGGGTCAGCTGGGTTAGCGTGGGGGGTGGGGGCTGGGAGCCAGGACTCCTGGGTTCTGTTGCTGGTCTGAGGGCCCCAGACCCAGGCTCTCTCTGTCTCAGGATAAGGAATACGTCGGGTTCGCCACCCTCCCCAACCAGCTGCATCGGAAATCTGTGAAGAAGGGATTCGACTTTACTCTGATGGTGGCAGGTAAAGGGTTAAACCCCATGCACCCCTACAGCCCCCCTCCACTCTAACCCACCAGACCCCACTCCCCTCTCAGAGCCTGGGAGAGAACCCAGGAGTCCTGGCTCCCAGCCCCCCCTGCTCTGACCCACCAGACCCCACTCCCCTCTCAGAGCCGGGGAGAGAACCCAGGAGTCCTGGCTCCCAGCCCCCCCTGCTCTGACCCACCAGACCCCACTCCCCTCTCAGAGCTGGGGAGAGAACCCAGGAGTCCTGGCTCCCAGCCCCCCCTGCTCTGACCCACCAGACCCCACTCCCTTCCCAGCGCTGGGGAGAGAACCCAGGAGTCCTGGCTCACCCCCTACCCCTCCCTGCAGGGGAGTCTGGGCTGGGGAAGTCTACGCTGATCGACAGCCTGTTCCTGACGGATCTGTACAAGGATCGGACCCTGCTGGACGCCCAGGGTGAGTGGGGGGTGGGGCAGGACCCAGGGCTGTGTGAGGGTGGGTGAGGGGTGTGTGGGTGCGGCAGGGGAGGGGCGGAACCCCAGGGTGGATTGGGGGGTGAGTGAGGGGTCTGGAAGGTGGCTGGCGTGAGGCGGGATCCAGGGCTGTATCAGGGTGGGGGTCGGGGGTGCAGTTGGGGTGGGGCGGGACCCGGGGGTGTTTGGGTGCTGGGGAGTTGGGTGGGGTGATCTGGGGGTGTAGCAGCGTGAGTGAGGGGTCTGGGGTGTGGCCAGGGTGGGGCGGGACCCGCGGGTGTATGGGGGGTGGGGAGTAGGGTGGGGTGAATTGGGGGGTGAGTCTGGGGGCGCGTCAGGGGTAGGGCAGGACTCGGGGTGTATTGGGGTGTGGCCGGGGTGGGGAGGGACCCGGAGGGTGTATCAGGGTGTGGCAGAGGTAGGCGGGACCCGAGGCTGTACCGGGGTGAGGGGGCCATGCCCCCCCAGCGCTGACCCTGTCCCCCCCCAGCGCGCGTCCCGCAGACCCTGGCGATCGAGCGGCGAGCTGTGGAGTTGGAGGAGGGCGGCGTCCGGGTGAAACTCACCGTCGTGGACACCCCGGGCTTTGGGGACGCCGTGGACAACGCTGACTGGTGAGGGGGGCCCGGGGGACACCCCTGCCCAGGCCAGTCCATAGTGGACTATATTGACTGGGTGGGGGATGGGGGGAGGGCGGAGCAGTGCATTGTGGGATATGCTCATGAAGCCCCCTCCTTTCCTCTCCCGCAGGCCAGTCCCAGCTGGGAGCCCATAGAGGACTATATGGACTGGCAGGAATGAGGAACTTGGGGCGGGGGCTGGGACAGCAGTGCATTGTGGGAACCCCTCACCAACTTCCCCCTGCCCCTTCCCCTGGGCTGGTCTTAGCTGGGGGCCCATGTTGGACTATACTGACCAGTAGGGACCTGATGGGGGGGGGAGATTCAGGGGGGGTGGAATTGGGAGAGTGGGGGCAGAGTCTGTCAGGGCAGTGCATTGTGGGACACAGGCTCTAACCCCTCCCCAGGACTGGTCCCTGCTGTGGGCTGTTACTGGACTATATGGACCAGCAGGGATCCTGGGGGAAGTTATGGGGAGGGAGGGGGTATTTGAGGAGTGGGGGGAGGGGCTGTCAGAGCAGTGCATTGTGGGACACAAACTCTAACCCCTCACAAAACGGGTGGTCCCAACTGGGGGTTGTCACGGGTCCCTGGGCGTGCTCTGGAACTGCTCCCCATGAAGTCAGTCAGGACCTGGGGTAGTCGCATTTCTGTGAGCAGCCTGTCTTCAGGACACGCGCTCACTCAGCTTCCACCTTCCTGGGTCTGACCTCGGAGCATTCAGCATCCTCTGCCCCTCCGTGCCTTCCCACAGCGAGTCCGCTCAGGCGGGGCTCCTGGGGAAGCCAGAGGGTCTGCACCCCAACTTCGCAGTCAGACGTGACTCTCAGCCAGCCAGTAAAACAGAAGGTTTATTAGACGACAGGAACATGGTCTAAAACAGAGCTTGCAGGTGCAGAGAATGGGACCCCTCAGCTGGGCCATTCTGGGGGCAGTGAGACAGACAACCACGTCTGCACTTCACTCCATGTCCCAGCCACCCCAAACTGAAAACCCCCTCCAGCCCCTCCTCCTCTGGGCTTTGTTCCTTTCCCGGCCGGGGTCACCTGATTCCTTTGTTCTCCAACCATTTAGCTCTCACCTTGCAGGGGGAAGGGCCCAGGCCATCAGTTGCCAGGAAACAGGGTGTCGGCCATTCTCTGTGTCCAGACTCTGCACACCCTGCCCTCTAGGGCTCTGCAATGATCATACACCCTTACCCCACCCCCTAGATACTTAAGAACTGCCTAGGGGAAACTGGGCACCCCCACACTATTCAGAGGAAACATTAAGAACAGTCCCACTTCGTCACATCTCTCCCCCTTCGAGATCGAACTGAGCGGCCTTTAGCGGTGACCTGGGGTTCGGCACCCGTTCCCATGGATGCCCCGCTCTCTCCCATTCCTTGGTAGGAGTTACACCGCCCTTCCAGTTTCACACCCTCCCTTGGTCGGGTGGGAGCTGGGCTGCTGTGGGAGGTTTTGCGCCCTGCCCTTTGGCCACCCCAAGAATGTCTCCCCATTGACCATCACCTTCTGCTCCCACTGAGGTCCGAGGGTGGCCCCGGAAACTCCACACAGCATTGGTTGGGTCGGGTGGGTGTCCACATCCCCAACCATCTGGCTGACGGTATGGCTTGGGACCCGCAGGGTAGACCCGGCTTTTCCCAGGGTCCCCTGGTTCAAATCTCCAGCCTGCTCAAAGGCAGGAGGTGGCATCCACCCCCCCTCCTTAACCAGGCGCTTAGTTCGGGTTCCCTGGGCCCGCTATCCCCCTCACCCCGGGAGTCCCCGGCCCCCCCCCACCACCCCCAGTTCATGCTGCTTCTGCCTCTTTCTGCTCTCCTGTCTCCCACGTCCTCTTGCTCTCTCGACTCGCTCCAATCCCGTCCGTCTCGATCCCCCGATGGGGACCCTGTGAAGACCCCCGTCTGGTGGGCGGGTCTTGGGCTGGCTCCCCTCCAGCTGCTCCCAGATCCTGCTATAGCCCCAGTTGGGGTCGGAACTGTTCTTGGGGTCTCCTCCTCCACTCCGATTAACTCTGCTTTGGTGAACTTTCCAACGCTCAACCCTCTCTTTTTGCACAGGGTACAATGTCCTTCTTAAGGAGAGGGAGGCATCCTCCGCTCCTCCCAGTTGTTGTGGATCACCCCTGTGTTCGCTCCCCACGTTTCCAGGAGAACCCCTGTGTCCCCCTTCTCGGGTCCCCCTCTTTGCCAGGGTCGCGCTCCTCCGCCCCTGGACTGCTCCTCGTCCCCAGGGGGCCCCTTACTGCACAGTCCCCTCACTGGTCACACCTCCCAGGGGTTAACCGCCCCCGAAACCGCTCCTTTCTGGCCTTCGCGGCCGGTCCTCGCAATCCCCCTCGTGTTTGCTCCCCGTCACTTACTGCAGAACCCATCCACGGCCATCCCACCTCTGCCACCAGTTGTCACGGAGTCCCTGGCGTGCTCTGGACTGCTCCCCTGAAGTCGTCAACCTGGGGTGTGCTTCTGTGCTGTCTTCGGCCCTCACACGCTTCCACCTTCCTGGCTGACCTCGCTCGCATCCTCTGCCCCTCCGTCTCCCACAGCGAGTCCTCGGGGCTCCTGGGGGAGGGTCTGCACCCCAACTCCAGTCGACGTGACTCTCAGCCACCAGTAAAACAGAAGGTTTATTAGACGACGGAACATGGTCTAAAACAGAGCTTGCGGTGAGAGAATGGGACCCTCACTGGGTCCTTCTGGGGGCGTGAGACAGACAACCACGCTGCACTTCACTCCATGTCCCAGCCAGCCCCAACTGAAACTCCCTCCAGCCCCTCCTCCTCTGGCTTTGTTCCTTTCCCCGGGCACCGTCCTTTGTTCTCCAACCCTCACTCTCACCTTGCGGGGGAAGGGCCCCATCAGTTGCCAGGAAACAGGGGTCCCATCTCTGTGCCGACTCCTCACACCCTGCCCTCTAGGGCTCTGCGATCATACCCCTTACCCCACCCCCTGATACTTAAGAACGCCGGAACGGGCACCCCCCCTATTCGAGAAACAAAGAACGCCCACTTCCACAGGGCCATACTGGACTATATGGACCAGCAGGGATTGGGGGGAGATAGGGGAGATTTGGGTGTGGAGGGGGCTGGTGGAGCAGTGCATTGTGGGAGACGCTCACTAACGCCTCCCTCCTCTCCACTCCCCCGGGCCGGTCCCAGCTGGGGGTCCATAGTGGACTATATTGACCAGCAGTTCGAGCAGTTCTTCCGGGATGAGAGTGGGCTGAACCGGAAGAACATCACGGACGGGCGGGTGCACTGCTGTCTCTACTTCCTCTCACCCTTCGGCCATGGGTACAGGGGGGCGCTGGGCCTGGGGGGCTGCGGGAAGGGGGTGTCATGAGGGGCTGGGGGGGGAACTGGCAGTTGTGGGGGCTGGCATAAGGCGTGGGAGCTTTGGGGTGCATTGGGGCACTGAGAGGGGTCACACGGGGTGCTGGGCATGGGGGGTGCGCCAGGGGACACTGGATTATTTGGGGGGTCACTCGGGGATGTGGGGGTGCTGGGGGGTATAGGGTCCCTTGGTGGGCTGAGGGACGGCGGAGGGCGCTGGGGGTCATTGGAGGGATGCGGGAGGAACAGGGGCTATTTGAGGGTGCCTCACTCCCTGCCCCCCCCAGGCTGCGCCCCCTGGACGTGGCGTTCCTGCGTGCCGTGCAACACAAGGTCAACATCGTGCCAGTGATCGGCCGAGCCGATGTCCTGACCCCCCGGGAGGTGGGCATCATGAAGGAGAAGGTGAGAGTCGCGGGGGGGGGGGAGTTCTACAGGGGGGCAGGGTCCCCCAGCCCATGTGCCCCCATATCTCCCTGCACCCCAAACAGTGCCCCATCCCAACCCTCCTCCTGCACCCATATTTCCATGCCAGCTCCCCCAATTCCCCAGGATCGCCACATTCCCCTGCACCCCAAATTCCTCCTCAGTCCTCACAGCCCGCCCCGGAGCCCCAAAATTTCACTCCTTGCACCCCAAATGTCTCCCAATCCCAACCCACATTCCCTGTACCCCCATATCCCTCCTCAACTGAAAGCCCCTCCCCCTACACCCCAAATTCCTCCCACTGCCAAGCCACATCCCCCTGGGCCCCAAATTTGCTGCTCTACCCCCCATCCCTCCCTGATCCTCCCCGCATCCCTCTGCCCCCCACATTTCCCTCCTTGTACCCCAATGTTTTCCTAATCCCAGCCCACATCATCCTGTACCCCAAATTCCCCCAATCCCCAACCACCTCTTCCTGTACCCCGATTTCCCTGGTACCCCCACATCCCCGCTGAACCCCCCCCGGCCTCCTGCTTCTCCTACGGGGCGGGGGATGGGTCTCTGTTGTGCATGAGGGTGTTGGGGTGATGCTTCCTTCCCCCCCCCGGCACCCCCAGATCCGGCAGCAACTGGAGGAAAACGCCATCAGCATCTACCAGTTCCCCGACTGCGACTCCGACGAGGACGAAGACTTCAAGGCCCAGGACGCGGAGCTGAAGGTGAGAAGTGCTCAGCGCGGGGGATGGGGGAAGGGAGTTCTGGGGGGGGCTACAGGAAAGGGGGGGGCCCTGGACACCCCCTAACCCCCCCCCGTCCCCCCTCCCAGGGCAGCATCCCGTTCGCCGTGGTCGGCTCCAATGACATCGTCCGGGAGACCAAGGGAAAGGCCTTCCGGGGGCGCACGTACCCCTGGGGGGCTGTGGAAGGTAGGGGGCGCTGTGGGGCAGGGAGCGGGATGGGGCTGGGGAGCTCAGTGGGGTGGCTGTGGGGCAGAGGGGGGCACCGTGGGGCGGGGAGTGTCGTGGGGGGCTAGGGAGTGCTGGGGGTCAATTGGGGCACCAGAGGGTGGGGGGATAAGTAGGGGGTGCTGGGGTCATTGGCTGGCATGAGGGATCAGTGGGGGGCACTGGGTAGCAGAGGGGGTCAGTGGGGGATGCCAGGGGTCGGTAGGGGATACTGGGAGGCAGGGGGGGCAGATGGGGCACCGGGGATTGGGGAAGCTGGGGGTTAGTGGGGGGCACCGGGGGAGGCCAGGGGTCAGTGGGATGCGCTAGGGGTCAGAAGGGGCACTGGGGGAGGCCGGGCACACAGGGGTCAGTGGGGGCACGGGGGGAGGGGCAGAGGGGTCAGTGGGGGGCACCAGGTGGCAGAGGGGTCAGTGGCGAGGCCAGGGATCAGTGGTGGGCACCAGGTGCCAGAGGGGGGGCACTGGGGGACGCTGGTGGCAGAGGGGTCACTGGGGGGGACCAGGGGGCAGAGGGGGTGCTGGGGGCACCAGCTGGCAGAGGGGTCAGTGGGGGACGCTGGGCGAGGCCAGGGATCAGTGGTGGGCACCAGGTGCCAGAGGGGGCACTGGGGGAGGCTGGGGGCAGAGGGGTCAATGGGGGGCACCAGGGGGCAGAGGGGGGTGCTGGGGGGCACCAGCTGGCAGAGGGGTCAGTGGGGAACGCTGGGCGAGGCCAGGGATCGGGGGGGGCACCGTGGGGCAGAGGGGGCCCTGGGGGAGGCCGGGGGCAGAGGGGTCAATGGGGGACACCGGGGCCCCATGCCTCTGTCGCCCCCCAGTGGAGAACCCGGCGCACTGCGACTTCCTACGGCTGCGTACCATGCTGGTGCGGACCCACATGCAGGACCTGAAGGAGGTGACCCAGGAGATGCACTACGAGAACTACCGGGCCCGCTGCATCCAGAGCCTGACCCGCGTGGGCGCCCGCGACCGCAGCAGCCGCATGTGAGCCCAGCGCCGGGGGGCAGCCGGGAGCAGGGCCGGGGGGCAGCGGGGTGAGCTGGGGGCAGAGGGGAGCAAGGAGGGGGGGGCAGCGAGGATAGGGGGCAGCCGGGGGTTGAAATGAATCTGGGCGCGATGGGGACACCCGGCCCCGCCTCCCCCTCCCCCTGACCCATCTCCCCCCCCAGGAAACTGTCCCGGCAAAGCGCCACCGAGCTCCCCCTGTTGCCCCTGGCGGAGACGGACACGGAGAAACTGATCCGGGAGAAGGATGAAGAGGTGAGTGGGCCACGAGGGGGGTGTTGACGGGGGGGGCTCTGCCCCCGGTTATACCCAGCCCCCAGCGCCGGGCAAGGCGCCCCCCTGTTCCCAGGCCCCGCGTCTCACCTCCCCCCCCCCTTGTCTCGCTCCCCCCCAGCTGCGCCGGATGCAGGAAATGCTGCAGAAGATGCATGACCAGATCAAGCAGAGCCAGGGGGAGCAGTCGGACACCCTGTGAGGATTTCAGGGTCCCCCCCTGGGGCCAGCACCCCCTCTGGAGCCAGCGTCTTCTGGATTTCACAGCAGCAGAAGGGACAGGGGTGATTCTCTGAGGCAGCCTAAGCAGCACTCGCAGCCCCCCCAAAACCCTGCTCACCAGAGCCCCTCCCCCAAGAACCCTAAATTCCCTGTTCCTCAAAGTCACCCCGTCTTCTCCCCCTTCCCAGCTTTGCCCCTAATAAACTCACCCCTGTGTTTGCACCACTGCTCCCTGAGTCTCTTTTGGGGGGCATGATCCCCCCCCTTCTTTCTGGCCCACAGGTGGGGGCAGAGGGGAGCCCCGCCCATGGACACGACGGAGAAACTGACGTCCCCGAAAAGGGAAGGTTTTTATTACTTAAAAACAACAAGAAAAAGAGACAAACTCAGAACTGAACTCTGGGGGGGCGTCCTGGGGTGACAGGCGGGGCGGCTTCTGGGATGGGGGGGTCGTTGATAAACTGCGGGCAGGGGGGTTGCTGTAGAAAGGGGGAGCTGGGGTGGAATGAACAGGGGGGAAATCTGGGACTGGGGGGGGACTGAAGTGGTGGGGTTGGGGGGGGACACCCCCCGTCTCTCCGCCAGGGGAGTGGCGTTGCCCCCCAGCCGGGGTCTGAGTCCGCCCGGCCGTCAGTCCTGGGGGCCGCAGGCGTCCGGGGGCTGGTCCTGGTAGTGGGTGTACTTGCGGGCCGAGCCGTGGGCGCGGTGGGCCGGGTAGCGGGCCCGGTTCCGGTCCAGCTTGCGCAGGGCGGCACGGGGCAGGTCCACCCGGCACTGCTGGGCCAGCGAGACCAGGTAGAGCAGCACGTCGCTCAGCTCCTCCGCCAGGGCCGCCCGCTCGCCCGGCGCCCAGCCCGGCAGCCCCGCCCTCGCCGCCGGCTCCGCCCGCCACTGGCTGGGGAGAGACGCACAGCGGGGTCACCGGCGGCCGGGGCGCCAGGACAGGCGGACGGACGGACACACGGAGCGGGGGGGGCGCCGGGACAGGCGGACGGACGGACGGACACACGGAGCGGGGGGGCGTCGGGACAACGGAGCGGACGGACGGACACACGGAGCGGGGGGCGCCGGGACGGACAACGGGCCGGACGGACGGACGGACACGGAGCGGGGGGGCGCCAGGACGGACGGACGGACACGGAGCGGGGGGGCGCCGGGACGGACGGACGGACACGGAGCGGGGGACGACGGACACGGAGCGGGGGGCGGGGGGCGGGACGGAGGACGGACACGGAGCGGGGGGGGGCCGGGACGGACGGACGGACACGGAGCGGGGGGGGGGGGGCCGGGACGGACGGACGGACACGGAGCGGGGGGCGCCGGGACGGGCGGACGGACAGATGGAGCAGGGGGGCACTGGGACACCCCGCCCCCACCACTTGTGCCCAGAGTTGAATCCGCCATGTCAGCTGCAGCCAGTAGGTGGCGACGTTGTTCAAACCCCCCCCCCCCCCCCCCGGAGTGTCACAAGTTCTCGGGGCTCAGCCTGCCCCAGCCCCTGGGCTGTGTGTGCGTGGGGGGGGGGGGCAGCTGGGTCAGGTCCGTCCCTCCATCCCCTTCCCAGGTCTCTCCCGGGGGTTGCAAACCATCATCATCCCCCCCCCCCCCCCAATACTCACAAGAGCTCGGCCACTTCCCCCACTTCGCCCACCAGCGCCAGGAGCAGGTTTCGGGGCTGGTGGAACCGGCCCCACCCCCGCTCGGCCACGAACTCGGCCTGGAGCCGCCGGCTGGACAAAGAGAAACGGGGGGGGGGGGGGGGGGGGAAGGGGGAGGCGGAAGGTTAGAAAAGTGTGCAGGTCGGGAGTGGGGGGGCAGGGCTGGGGGGGCAGGGGGCTGCGGGTCGGGAGTGGGGGGAGCTAGGGGGCAGGGGGCTGTGGGTCAAGAGCGAGGGGCACCGGCAGGGCTGCGGGGGGCAGGGCTGGGGTAGCAGGGGGGCTGCGGGGGCGGGAGTGGGGGGGGCAGGGCTGGGGGGGAGGGGGTGCGGGTGGGGGGGAGGGGCACCGGCGGGGGGGCAGGGCTGGGGTAGCAGGGGCTGCGGGTCGGGAGTGGGGGGCAGGGCTGGGGGGCAGGGGGCTGCGGGTCGGGAGTGGGGGGCACCGGCAGGGCTGCGGGGGGCAGGGGGCTGCGGGTCAGGAGTGGGGGGCACCAGCAGGGCTGCGGGGGGCAGGGCTGGGGTAGCAGGGGGCTGCGGGTCGGGAGTGGGGGGCACCGGCAGGGCTGGGGGGCGGGCTGGGGTGCGGGGCTGCGGTGGGGGGCGGGCTTGGGGGCGGGGGCTGCGGGTCGGGAGTGGGGGGGCAGGGGGCTGCGGGTCGGGAGTGGGGGGCACCGGCAGGGCTGCGGGGGGGCAGGGCTGGGGTAGAGGGGGCTGCGGGTCAGGAGTGGGGGGCACCGGCAGGGCTGCGGGGGGCAGGGCTGGGGTAGCAGGGGGCTGCGGGTCGGGGGGGGCAGGGCTTGGGGGGCAGGGGGCTGCGGGTCGGGAGTGGGGGGCACCGGCAGGGCTGCGGGGGGCAGGGCTGGGGTAGCAGGGGGCTGCGGGTCGGGAGTGGGGGGGCAGGGCTGGGGGGGCAGGGGTAACTCACATGTCCTCCAGGGAGGGGTCAGCGCTGAATGTAAACTCCCCTGGGGTCCCCCCCTCTGCTCCCTGGTCTCCAGCTTCTGAGATTTTGACAGCAGCCTGCGCCCCCTGCAGGAGCCGGAGGGAATCACATGGTGACCCCAGAACCCCAACTTCACCGGGCCCTGCCACCAAACACCCCCCACGGCAGCATCTGGGACCCCCGGACACACAGTGGAGGGTCAGCATTTGGGGTCAGTGCACCAGTGACCCGGGGCAGAGCTGGGGGGCGGGGGGAGCCCAGGGCTGGGCTGGCAGGGGGCTGCAGGTCGGGAGTGAGGGGCACCGGCAGAGCTGGGGGGGGGAGCCCCAGAGGTTTCTGGAGGCCTGCCCCCGCCCCCCACAGCCCAGCTGGCCCCACAATTGGAGAAACGCCCCCAAACTGCACCCCCCACCACGCCTGGCTGATGGGAGACCCCCCCCCCCCGTCCAACCAAAGCAGGTCGCTCGAAAGCGGCCCCCCCCCCAGGACAGGACAACAACCCCCTTCTGCTACCGTGCTGGGCGCGCCCCCCCCCGCACAGCGGTAAGTGGTGGGGGGGGAAGCCCAGGAGCTGGGCGAACACCCGGCTCAGCCCCGAGAGGCGCTTCCCGCGTCGTCCCGCCCCCCCCGGCTGCAATTCCCGCCCCTCCCCCCATGCACCCCCCGGCTGCAATTCCCGCCCCTACCCCATGCGCCCCTCCCCCCATGCACCCCCCGGCTGCAATTCCCGCCCCCCCTCATACAGCCCCCCCGACTGCAATTCCCGCCCCCATGCAGCCCCCCCCCAGACTGCAAATCCCCCCCATGCACCCCCCCGCCTGCAATTCCCCCGCATGCACCCCCCGCCTGCAATTCCCGCCCCTCCCCCATGCACCCCCCGGCTGCAATTCCCGCCCCCCCCATGCAGCCCCCCGCCTGCAATTCCCGCCCCCCCTCCATGCAGCCCCCCCAGACTGCAAAGCCCCCCCCACCTGGCCGCCCTCGCGGCAGGAACCGTCCATGCCTCCCTCGAACCCCGGTACCACGCCTCCACCGCGCCCCTCCAGCCAATCAGAGCAGGAGCCGGCCCCGGCCGGCCAATGGGCTCGCCCGATAGCGCGGCGCAGCCAATCAGGACGCCCGAGGCAACGGGAAGGGGAGCACGCGGGGAGCGAGGTTCTAGGGAGCATGCGCAGTGACGCGGCTGAAGCGGCTGCCCGGCCTTTCCCCGGGAGCGGGCGGCACGTGCGGGCTGAGTGGGGCAGGAGCCGTGTGCGCGGGGGGGGCAGGAGCTATCGCACGGGCTGCAACCCTGCGTAGGATGGGAGCCCCCTCCAGCCGGGGGGGGGCAGCCCCATTGCCAGCCCCTCCCCCAGCCCTGCCCCCTCCACCCCCATTCCCAATGTGTGCCCCCATTTGCCCCCCCGCGCCCCCACACCCCGTGCCAGCGGCTCCCCCAGCCCTGCCCCCTGCACCCCCATTCCCAGTCCCTCCCCCAGCCCTGCCCCCCGGACCCCCGTTATCTGCACCTCCCCCAGCCCTGCCCCCTGCACCCCCATTCCCAGTCCCTCCCCCAGCCCTGCCCCCCCCGGACCCCCGTTATCTGCACCTCCCCCAGCCCTGCCCCCTGCACCCCCCATTCCCAGTGCGTCCCCCCAGCCCTGCCCCCTGCACCCCCCATTCCCAGTGTGTGACCCCAGCCCTGCACCCTGCACCCCCATTGCCAGCCCCTCCCCTAGCCCTGCCCCCTGCACCCCCGTTACCTGCACCTCCCCCCAGCCCTGCCACCTGCACCCCCATTCCCAGTCCCTCCCCCAGCCCTGCCCCCCCCGGACCCCCGTTACCTGCACCTCCCCCAGCCCTGCCCCCTACACCGCCATTGCCAGCCCCTCCCCCAGCCCTGCCCCCTGCACCCCCATTCCCAATGTGTGCCCCCATTTTCCCCCCGCGCCCCCGCACCCCGTGCCAGCGGCTCCCCCAGCCCTGCCCCCTCTGCACCCCCGTTACCTGCACCTCCCCCAGCCCTGCCCCCCCCAAACCCCCGATACCTGCACCTCCCCCCAGCCCTGCCCCCTGTACCCCCGTTACCTGCACCTTCCCCAGCCCTGCCCCCCCCGACCCCCGGTACCTGCACCTCCCCCAGCCCTGCCCCCCCCAACCCCCGATACCTGCACCTCCCCCAGCCCTGCCCCCCAACCCCCGATACCTGCAGCTCCCCCCCCCCCACCCCTCCCCAGCCCTGCCCCCCGACCCCGTACCCCCTCCCCCCCCTCCCCCCCGACCCCCGTTCCTCCCTCCCCCAGCCCTCCCCCTGCCCCGCCTACCTCACCTCCCCCACCCTGCCCCCCCCCCCCCCCCTGCCCCCCCCGACCCCCGATACCTGCACCTCCCCCCAGCCCTGCCCCCTGCCCTGCCCCACCCCCGTTACCTGCACCTCTCCCCAGCAGTGCCCCCCCAGACCCTCAATACCTGCACCTCCCCCCAGCCCTGCCCCCTGCACCCCCATTCCCAGTCCTTCCCCCAGCCCTGCCCCCTCCACTCCCACATTCCCAGTCCCTCCCCCCAGCCCTGCCCCCTGCACCCCCATTCCCAGTCCTTCCCCCAGCCCTGCCCCCTCCACTCCCCCATTCCCAGTCCCTCCCCCAGCCCTGCCCCCTGCCCCCCCGTTATCTGCACCTCTCCCCAGCCCTGCCCCCTGCACCCCCAGTGCTGGCGCCTCCCCCTCAAGTCGTGCCCCCCCCCGGCTGTGCGAGCTGTGCCCCCCCGGGCTGTGCCCCCCCTCAGTGTGCTGGAGAGCCCCTGGCCAGTGCCTGCACAGAGCCGGGGGTGGGACGCGGGGTCTCCCCCCCCCATTCCTGCCATGGGGGCTGAGTCTGGCCGCAGGGCCCTGCCGGGCAAGGCCCTGTCCCACCCCAGCAAGCGTTGCCGGAGGAGGGGAGCCCCGTCCCGCCCCGCCCCAGCCTTGTGCCCCCTGCCCCAGCCCGCCCCAGCCTGCCCTGCTGCGGCTCCGCACGAGTGGGGTGGGGGGCCCAGGGCAGCTGGAGGTGGGGAGGGGAGCGATGGGGGGAGGGAAGCCTGGGGGGGCAGTGGAGGGCTAGGGGATGATGCAGTGGCCAGCGGGGGCCAGGAGCAATGGGGGGAGGGGAATCTGGGGAGACAGTGGGGGCTTAGACTGATGGGGGGGGCAGCGGAGACCAGGAGCAAGGGGGGGGGAGCGGAGTCCAGGGAGGCAGTGGGGGGTGATGAGGGGGCCAGGGCACCATTTCCCCTAAGGCCGATCCGGGCGTCGGGGGCGTTGTTGGAGGGTGCCTTGGCCCTCCCCAGGAAGCTGAGCGTGGCTGTGATGGCGAGGGGAGGGCCCTGCCATGGTGCCCCCGCCATCAGCAGTTACCCCTGGCCTGCGGCACCGCTGAGGAGCTGGTGATCGCGCGGCCCCCCACTGGGGAGCACCCCAGGATGTTTCCAGCTCTCACGTAACCCCAGCCACCTGCCGGCAGCTGCACGGAGCGGGGGGCTGTCCGGGACCCCAGAGACGCCCAGGCCCAGGGGGCTGGCAGGTCCCAGCCCCGCTTTTGTGTGGGTGGGTGTGTTTGTGCCCTTGCATAGCCAGGCTTTGTTGCGTGCCATCCCTCTGGCAGCTCACACCCAGGGCTGAGCCAGTCAGGTCTCGGGAGCGGGGCAATGCGAGAAACAAGAGTCCTCTTAGCCCAGCCAGGCCCCGGGGGCGGCTCTTCGTCCCCCGCAGGAGCAAGGGCCTGTCTGCGGTGAGGGCTGCGTCTGGGGCCGACGCCGGGGATTTGGGGACGGAGCTGCCGCGTCAGCCGCCGGAGAAGCCGGGTGGGGCCAGGGCACGTTCTGTCCCCGGGATGCAGACGCTGGCGACTTTGCAGCGCCGAAGGCGGGCGAGCTCGGCTGACGTCGCTGGGCACGAGGGGGCCCGTGTGTTTCCGCAGCGGGGGGGACCAGGCCCGAGACGCTGCCAGAGCGCGGCGCGCGGGGAGGTCCGGGGCGCGAGCCGCCGGTTCCACCTCGGGGTTCGCTCCGGGTGGCGGGTCTGGGTAAAGCACCAGGGTTGATTTTCTGCCCGTGCGCTTGCTTTGAAAAGGAATTCAGAGCTCTCCCGAGTCCGCTTTCCACGACTCTCAATGGTTTGCGGGCACTCGGTGTTTCTTTCCTAATACGCTGGTGTCCCGTTTGTAAAGGGACAGTCCTGTTTTGGGGGGTCTTTTTCTTATATAGGCACCGATTACCCCCCACCCCCCGTCCCGATTTTTTACACTTGCTGTCTGGTCACCCTAGATGACCTGCTCTGCCGTGGAGAGGAATAATAAAGAAATCCTCAGATCTCCGTTCAGCGTTTTACATCCACTAGCCCAGAAACTCCGCTTGTAGGACGCTTTCTAAGCTGTCCTGAAAACACAGACACGGGGGCTGGGTCCTCTCCGCTCCGATTGCTTTTTCTCAAGTGCTGGGATGATGTTGCCCAGCTAAAGCGTCACCTCTGAGTTCGGGAGTAATAAACGTCACGGACGTAAGGCTGCGGCACTGTGTACCTCGACGTAGCCCCCCGGACCTCCCCCCCCGCCGCTGTGAGATGCTGATGAGACGTTTGGTACAACGCCTGCCTTGCGAGGGGTCTCTTTACAACTCTTGATCGGTTAATACCCTGTTGGATTGTGCGAGCTGTCCCTGGACGGGAAGTCGTGAACACGGAGGTACGAACGCCAGCGTTAGGGACTCACCGGCCAACCACGCGCACCTGCTTTGGAACGGGAAGCCCGCAATCAGGCAGCAGCAGAAACCCCGCCCGGCCCCCGCCGCACAAACCCCCCAACACAGGACAGGACTATGTTCAACGTAATAAATAAAGGGAGAGCGGCCTTTTTCTTCTGCCTGGTAAAGTTTCCAAGCTGTAGAAGTCCATGGTCAGCTGTAAACTTTTGAAGGGACAAACCCGAATGTTTTGTTCAGCGTTCGGAACATTTCAGAGGTAGGAACAACCCTCGGCCCTGGGGGTTTGTAACTCTGAGGTTCTAGGCAACGCCCACACCCAGCCTTTCAGTTGCAACAAAAAGGTTGGCCAGATGGGCGTGGGTGGCCCATCAAAAAGTTATCCGCTCTCCCTGAGGCCCCTTGGAGAAAGGACAGGGTGAAAGGCTGGTGGGTTGGGAGGGGTCAGGGGTCCCATAGTCCAGGTTGCACCCAGGGGACCCCCTCACAAAGATAACACATGCTTTGTGAACCCATACAAGAGTGCTCTGCTAACCTGGTGCTTAACCCCTCAAGTGTCTCCCCTGTCCATTCTCCAGTGAGAGAACTCCCCTGCCACGAGCACTTACGCTATGCACCCTGCAATAGACGTCTGGTGGACCCAAAGGTGTAGGGTCCGCCTGGCTGAGGACCTTCACAAAAGCTCCGAAGTCCCTTTGTGCTTTATAAATGTTTGTCATGCCTGTGATCATCGTGACCCTGAAACGCGTGTGTTCGTTATATGGGTTGCTTTATTTCAGATTCTTCAGCATTTCAGAAAACGGATTTTTCCAACAAGGCTGTACAAGGCCAAAACCTCCCTGTAATAAACAGCAGTATGGCGGGTAGGGAGCGGGTATCTCTCTATGCTCTGTTATTTTCAAACTCCCCTGCTTGTGAAATTCACATTCCTGCCTGGAGTGACTCTGACTTCACTTGGTTAAACTCTTATAGGCCATCTCATGATTTCAAATGCAATTCGATTTCCATGGGTCAAAGGCAGCCAGACTTTGTAAGCCACAAATACTTCAAACTTAGGCACGTAGCTCACATTGACTTCTGTCCCTCTTGGGATTGGCCTATGAATGCGGCCTCGTTGAGTTGGGCTTACCCTGCTTATACGTCCCCAATTTCCATGTCACACCTACTGTCACGGGCACTTATCCAAAGCTGGTAAACCTGGATTTTAACAAACCCTTCCTGGTGCTCACTGACCCCTCTGACGCGGGGCTGGGTGGGGTGCTGATGCAAACTGATACTAAGTGGGAGAGACGCCCCATTGCGTGCCTGAGCAAGAAGCTGCTGCCCCGGGAGCAGCGCTTCGTCACACCGACTAAATAAAGTCCGATTGTTGTATGGCTAGATACTGCATGTTTGCCATTAGGTAAATGTTAACAGTGTGACATGTTTTCTTCTGTGAACAATACTCAGGGAAACCCTTTGAGGAAAAAACCGCCCGGGTGTTGGCATTAAAGAGGAGAAACACATCTCCTGAAGGAATGAATAAAGCCGGCAGACTTCATCTGCGTCGATTTGCTGCCAACTTTTCTTTGGAAGGCGAGCGAGACTTCTTCTCATGTCATCCAGACGCAGAATACAATGGACTTTTCAGCCTGTAACTTACGGTCCCGATGCCCCAGCGCTGGGTTTGTTTGGAGCGTTCACCCGACCGTCACCGGGACCACGGTCAGGATCCCGGGTTTTCTTCACGGTGCCCAGAACATCTGCGCTACCCGCCTCGGCGCCCTCACAAACGCGTGGGTCAGCTACACGGCAAAGGAGGATAACTTATGAATATGACCGGACAAACCCTGTAATTCCGCTTTATTTCTCAAGCCCGTGATCCAACGTATCCACAAACAACAACCCGCAGGCTTTCACCGAGCAATGATTTCTCGTTTAAAAACCCATTTCAACAGCTAATTAGAACCAGATATTGAAGTCTCCCCCCCCGGCACTTTGTACTCAAGCCATGACGAACCACACAGTGCCCAGATATAACAAGGAGTCCGGTGGCACCTTAAAGACTAACCTTGTTTTTGTGGATACAGATTAACACGGCTACCCCCCGATAGCGTTCAGATATCTTTGATATGCATATGCCGTATAATTAAGGCTAAGATTTTGTCACGCATATTTGTAGTAAAAGTCACGGACAGGTCACGGGCAATAAAGAAAAATTCCTGGAAGCCCGCGACCTATCCCTGACGTCTACTAAAAGTATGCATGACAAAATTGGGAGCTATGGGGTCTCCACACCACTCCTGGGGGCCCGGCTGGGAGCTGCGGGGCATCCCCCCCCGCCTGTGGCTCCCAGCTGCGGGGCGCCCTGGCCACCCGCAGCGGCTCCGAGCTCCCGGGGCTAAAGTCACAGGGGTCTTTGGAAGTCACAGATTCCGTGACCAAATCATAGCCCTATGAACCGGTGACTTTGAAAATATCTGATCATTGCTTATCCTCGCCTCAGTGTCCCCCTCTTCTCCGATCAACAGACGGACGCTTTTCCGGACTGGCAAAGGAAGAAAGGCTGTCATCGTGCGCACCAGGAAGCAGCCCGACAACTCTTCCAACAGCATCATGGGAGTCCCCGGGGCCAACACCAAGGAATCTTTAAAACGAGAAGCGCGATGATCGCACGATACTATTGGCCTGGGATGACGAAGGACATCGTCGAGTGGGTCTGTAACGAAACCAAACCCGGCCACACGTCGCTGGCCATGGCAGTGCCGAGTTGAACCGTGCCGTGCAAAGCACGCGGTTCCCACACGTGGCGTGAAAATGTAAACGCCTTTCCCGTGCGATCGTATTTTCGTACGAGAACGTTCGCGTTGTCGTGTGGTTCTGTCCAAACTAGGCGGAGCGACGGGTGAAGTGCCGGAAGGGGAGAAAGGACGTGACTCTGCCCACCCCCGTGGAAAGCAAAAAGGTGCATTTTGGACTCGGAGGGATCTCCTGTGTATCTTCTGAAATGTCTTTTTCAGCCACATCGGTCAGAATTTGCTGCCTCTGGAGGATGGCACATGGGGTCCCCTCGCCTGGCGCTGGGACGTGGCCCCTCTGGGGTGGGCGGGCTGGGCACACGGGGACCCCTCGCCTGGCGCTGGGACGTGGCCCCTCTGGGGTGGGGGGCCTGGGCACACGGGGACCCCTTGCCTGGCGCTGGGACGTGGCCCCTCAGGGGGCAGCGGGGGGCTGGGCTCACAGGGACCCCTCGCCTGGTGCTGGGATGTGGCCCCTCTGGGGCGGGGGGGGGCTGGGCACACGGGGACCCCTCGCCTGGTGCTGGGATGTGGCCCCTCTGAGGTGGGGGGGCTGGGCACACGGGGACCCCTCGCCTGGCGCTGGGACGTGGCCCCTCTGGGGTGGGGGGCCTGGGCACACGGGGACCCCTTGCCTGGCGCTGGGACGTGGCCCCTCAGGGGCAGCGGGGGGCTGGGCTCACAGGGACCCCTCGCCTGGTGCTGGGATGTGGCCCCTCTGAGGTGGGGGGGCTGGGCACACGGGGACCCCTCGCCTGGTGCTGGGATGTGGCCCCTCTGAGGTGGGGGGGCTGGGCACACGGGGACCCCTCGCCTGGTGCTGGGATGTGGCCCCCGGGGGAAGCAGTTTATACTCTGTGTGAAGTGCCTCCTAGGTGTTTTCTCAGCCCCCCGCCCCCCCCGGGCCAGCCCCACCTCCTGGCCAGCCCCTCCCACACCCCAGCTCCTTCCAGGCCGGGAAGCGTGTCCTGTTCCAGATCTCCGTCCAGCTGCCCCTTGTTCCCGGACTCCACCGAGTGGCGGTGGCAGGTAAGATCCCTCCTGCTCAGGGGGTCCCCGGCCCCCCAGTCCCAGGCCCGGGAGCTCGGGGTCTGTGGCCCTGGAGTGGGAGTTGCTCTGCCCTGTGTGTTTGCTCTGGGTCAGACGGGGATGGCCTGGACTTTGCCTTGTGCTGGGGGAGGGGGTTTGGTGCAGACAGGCCCGGGGCGGAGTGGGGAACGCAGACAGGACCCTGGGGTGGGGGGAAGTGGGAGGAGCTGGGAGTGAACCCCTTTTCTCTCTTCCCTTGTCAAATGGGGGGGAGGGGACGCAGGGGAAAAGGGGGAGCATGGGGTGCTGTGGGGAGGGGCGCTGGCTGTGGGGGGAGCTCTTGGCTATTCCAGCCCCAGCCTCTTCCAACAGGGGGCGCAGTGGGGAGCAGGGTGGGAGTGCTGGTTTTGTGGGGAGCTCCCGGCTGCTCCAGCCCCGGCCTCGCCCAGCAGGGGGCGCTGTGGGGAAGGGGCGGGGCGCTGGCTGTGGGGGGACTCCCGGCTGCTCCAGCCCGGCCTCGCCCTCGTACGCTCTGGTATGTCTTCTCCACAATGCCTCTGTGGTTTCCCGTTGCAGACCGGCGCCATGACCTCCCGCCTGGATCTCTCTCACCTCCTCCCGCCCCCCCGCTTGCGCCAGCTGGTCCGGGACTGGCTGCAAGAGGATGCCCCGGCCTTCGACCCCGCGGGCTGCGCAGTGGGGCAACGCCCGGAGCGCGCTGTGCTCCTCTGCAAGTCTCCCGGGGTGTTGGCTGGCTGCCCCTTCTTTGACGCCGTCTTCACCGAGCTGGGCTGCACCGTGGAATGGTTCCAGCCCGAGGGGGCCTGGCTGGAGCCCGTGGCCCGCGTGGCCGAAGTCCGTGGCAAAGCCTGCCACCTGTTGCTGGGGGAGAGGACTGCTCTGAATTGCCTGGGACGGTGCAGCGGGGTGGCCACGGCCACGGGGCGGGCCTGCCGGCTGGCGCGGGAGGCCGGCTGGCGCGGGCAAGTGGCCGGGACGAGGAAGACCACGCCGGGTTTCAGGCTGGCTGAGAAGTACGCCCTGCTGGTGGGGGGAGCGTCGGGCCACCGCTACGGTTTGGGCAGTCTTGTCATGCTGAAGGATAACCACGTCTGGGCTGCGGGAGGAATTGCCCAGGTAAGGGGGTGGGCCTGGAAGTACTGGAGGGGGGGGGGTGTCTCCTACCCGGATGCCTGGGTCGCATTACCCCTCCCAGTCTCTGGGAGCGTGGGGGGGGGACCCTTAGGGCAGCCATCTCAGATGCCTGGACTCCACCCCTATCTCTGGGAGTACTAGGTGGTGTCTCCTACCCGGACACCTGGGTCCCATTCCCTGCCCAAACTCTCTCTCCACCTCTAGGCTGTCCAGGAAGCCCAGCGGGTGGCTGGCTTTCATCTGAAGCTGGAGGTGGAGTGTCGTTCGCTGGGAGAGGCCCTGGAAGCCGCAGAGGCCGGATCTGACATAGTCATGCTGGATAACTTCTCCCCGGAGGTACCAGGGAGTTTGGGGGCTACCAGGTGGGGCGGGGGGGTCTCCCAGCCCCCTCCCTTATAACCCTGCCCCTTGTTCCTCTAGGACTTGCATCCCGCCGCCAGCGCGCTGAAAGCCGCCCACCCCCGGGTGATGGTGGAAGCCAGCGGTGGGATCTCGGAGGAGAATATCTCCCAGTTCTTCGGCCCGTGTATAGACGTCCTTTCTCTGGGATGCCTCACCCAGTCGGCCCGAGCCGTGGATTTTTCCCTCAAAATCTGTCGGGAGACGCCGGTCCAGAGAGATTTTGCCTTCTAAGACCATAAGCCCCAATTTTCAGGGCAGAGTGTGAAATTTTAGCACAGTGAAATCATGGGTCAGGGAATTTCACAGATTAACAGATAAAATTATCTAGATTCGTCCATGTATCTTATGCTGTCTGATTTTCTCACCTTGAATCTTTTCCTAAGAACCATCAGACACTACATTTCCTGAACTGGGAGTGAAATTTTAAGCTCTGTAAACTCATGTGGTGGGGAGTTCCTCTGGCTACTAGTTAAAATCATCTTCCTACTGAAATGTGCTACCTTAATTTGCCCAATATAATTTCTGTCCTAAAATGTGTCGCATGCTAAATTTTCTAAGCCATGTGTGAAATTTTAACTCAACGAAATGGTGTGTCAGGGAGTTCTAGAGGTTAATTGATACATTTATTTCATATGTTCCCTCTAAGATGTGCTGTCTTGATTCATGCACTTTAATTTTGCCCTAAGAGCCATCACATACTAAATTTTCTAAAGCCAAATGGGCAGTTTTTGCTCCCTAAAATCATGTGGCAGAGTGTTCCACAGCTTAACGTCTAAAACCATCTCATATCTTTCCCCTGAAATGTGCTGTCTCGATTTTACATTTTTGAATTGCTCCTAAGAACCATCAGATCCCAAATTTCCTGAGCCGCGTGTGAAATTATATCTCCATGAAATCATGTGGCGGGGTGTTCCATAGGTTAACAGATAAGAAGTATCTAATTTTTTCATTCCAAAACCTGCTGTGACATCCTGACCTGACTGAAGTTATCGGAAAACAACCACAGACTTCAGTGGGGCCAGGATTTCAACCACTGCCGCTTCATTAGCCCATCTTGATCCCTATCTAAACAGCCACTGTGCCCCACTCCAGAAGCAGTCACAACACAACAGACTAGGACACCGAGAGAGTTAAAAACAGGTTTCCTCATCTTTATTGAAACATTTTTTTTCTCAATTCTTGACACGGGTCCTGATCAGTTTCTTAAGACTCTGGCTGCAGGGTGGGGAAGGGCAAGGTTGTGGGGTCCCAGCTCCCCACCCCAAAATCACAATAAATAAGACTGGCGTCTGCAGTTTGGGGGTCCAAAACTGAAGCTGATTTGGCGTCATGTGGGTGATATGCCCCCAACCTGGGGGTGTGGGTGGATGGGACCCCACAGCGCCAGCCCCCTGCGTCAGGGCGGCAGGGCAATTTGGGTAGGCCTGATGGATTTACTCCCCTTCTTTGTCTTCACCGTGTGTAATGACGTAGCAGATGTTCTTATAGTCCACGTTGCCGGCCACATCTGGAGGAAAAGCTGCCCACATGTTCTTGATCTGGGGAGGGATGACAGGTGCAAGAGGGGAGTTAAAATTGGGGTGACCCCCACCCCCAAAGCTAGGGTTTGTGCCCCTCGATCCCAGACACCTCCCCCCACTGCTGCTGCGGGAGGGATGATCTGGGGGGGGGGATGGGTTAGATTGGGGGGATGGGGTTTGTATTGGGGTTCAGGGGGGTCACCCCCAAATTTCTCACCTCTTCTGGGGTGAATCTGTCGCACTGGGTGGTCAGAAGTTCTTCCAGGCTGAGAGGGGGGAAGAGAGAGAGTGGCGATCAGACACCCCAAATTCTGGGGAGACACCCCCGCTTTCTCAACCCTGACGTACCCCCCTACTACCACCACCCCACCCCCTGGGGAGAGCGCCCTCTGCTGGGGAGACCCCCCTCCCTGCGCACTCTCAGGGCTGGGATCACCCCTAGCGCCCCCTGCCCTGGGGAGACCCCACACCCACCCCTAGCACCCCCTGCTGGGGACAGGGATACTCACAACTGCTTCTTGATGGTGCCTTTGGCGTCGCTGTCCAGGACCTTGAACGCCCCCATGATCACGTCCTCGGGGTCAGCACCTGGGGGGCGGAGAGGGTGAGAATTGGGGGGCTGGGGCATACCAATGGGGGGGGATGGGATGTACCAATAGGGGAGAGGCTAAGGGGGGATGGGATGGGGCAGTAATGGGACATACCAATGGGGATGGGATGGGAGGTACCAATGTATAGCAGGTTGGGGGAGCATGATGGGAAGTACCAATGGGTAGTGGGTGGAATGGGACGTACCAATGGGGTTGTGATTGGGGGGATGGATGTACCAATGGGTAACAGGGAGCAGGATGGGGATGTGATGTGGGGGGAATGGGGATGTGTCAGAGGGTGGGAGGTGGAAGTTGAGGGGAGAAAAGATGGGGACATACGCAGGGGGAGGAAATGGGGATGTACCAAAGTTGGGGGAGGAGGAAATGGGGATGTACCAAGGGGGAGCAGGATGGGGGGAGATAGGGATGTACCAAAGGGGTAGATGGGAATATACCCAGGGACAGTGGGGTGGGGAGGTACCAAAGGGGAGCAGGATGAGGGGAGATGGGAATGTACCAAGGGGTAACAGGATGGGGACATACCAAAGGGGAGTGTGATGGGGGGGAGAGGGGGATGTACCAAGCGGGATGGGGGGGTCACTCACCCTTGAGCTTCTCCCCAAACATGGTGAGGAAGACGGTGAAGTTGATGGGGCCGCTGGCTTCCTTAATCATGGCATCCAGCTCCTCATTCTTCACGTTCAGGCGCCCTGCCAAGGGGGGGGAAAGGGTTATAAAGTGTGTGTGGGGGGAGAACGGGGGGGGGGAATCCCATTCCCCCCCTCCTGGAACAGGTCCCTCCCTTCCCAGATAGACCCCACCCCCCTTGGAATGGCCCCTCCCACCCCAGAGAAGCCCCTCCCACCCTGGTCTGGCCCCGCCTCTTTACCCATGGCAGCGAATGTGTCTCTCAGGTCTTCCTTGTCGATGATGCCATCTCTGTTCTGGTCAATGACGGTGAAGGCCTAAGTGGGAGAGGAGCAAAGGATCATGGGAATGGAGAGATGCCAAGGGCCATATGGCTCTCTGCAGCCCGGCCTCCCCCCACTGCCCCCCCGCCTTGCAGCTGTCCCCCGAGACACCTGTCACCCAGCCCCCGTTCCTGACTCCTTGGGGACAGAAGGAACGCCAGGAATCCTCGTCTGGCGGCGTGCCCCCGGCCCCGTGCCCCCGGGAGCTGCCGATGCAGCCCCCCTCCCGTGGGGGACAGGTGCTGCATGCCGGAGGAGCTGACGAGCTCTCCAGAGACGGGAGGGAAGCTACTGACCCCCCCCCCCCGCAATGCTTTTGCTCCATCCCTCCCTCTATCCCCCTCCCCCGGCAGCCAAGCCCCCCCCCCCAGCATAGATGGAGATGCCCCATAGGCACCCCTCCTCCCCCAAATTCCACGTCTCCAGGGATTTCCTTCTAAGGCGCCTCCAACCCAACTGCAGATGTCGCGTCTCCACCCACCGGCCCCCAAAATAGACGCCCGGCCCTTGGGATCCGGGGAAGGAAACGGCCCCGTCCGTGCTGGGAGGGATGGGAGCTGGGGAGACGGCCGCACCCAGGGAGAAGGACGCAGTGGGGTGGCGTCTCTCTCTGTCGGATCGGGCGAGGTGAGGTCATTCCGGGGGGACGAGGAGGACTTGGGGAGACGGCACCCCGGACCCCACCCTAGAGCATCAAGGTTTGGTGGGATGATCCTGCCCCCTGGAGACAGGGGGAATAGACTGGAGGGGCCAATCTTCCCCTCACCCTCACCCCTCCCTGCCCTTCATCCACCCTACCTCCTCCGCCTCACCTCTTTGAACTCCTGGATTTGGGTTTGGTCAAACATAGAGAAGACACTGGAGCTGCCTTCGGCTGCCTTCCTCTTCGCCTTCTTGGGTGCCTGTTTTTTGGGGGGCGGGGGGGTGAAGGGGAAGAAAAGCAGACAGGCCGTGGCATGCAAAGGTTAATTCCATGGGCCACCATACCCCCACCCCAGATCTGAGCCCCGAACATAGGCCTGGTGCCCCATAACACCCTCCTCCTCCCTGTCTGTGATCGGCGGGGGCAGAGCCCAAGAGATGGGATGGGGGGGGGACTGGGGGAGTTCTTGGGGTGAACTTAGAGAAGTGGGGGTTATTGGGGGTGTATGGGAGCTAGCGAGGGAATTGGGGTGCAGTGTGCAATATTGGGGGGCTACAAGGAACTTGGGTGCAGGGGAGATATGGGTGGAATTGTGCATAGGGGGACGTTGAGAGGTGTATGGGAGTGATTGGGGGTGCATGAGAATTACTGGGATGTGCATGGGCATTAGTGGGGAAATTGGGGTGCACAGCAGTTATTGGGGAGTATATTGGAGTTAGTGGGGGAAATAGGGTGCATACGAGTTATTGGGGTGCATGGGAGTTAGTGGGGGAAATGGGGGTGCAAGGGGAAACACCTGTTAAGCAATGCAAGTGAGGGGCCTCAGCTGTGTTGAGGGGCAGTTATGAGATGGGGTGTCTATTGGTGAGGGGGTAACAGTCCCCCAATGGATAATAGGGATATCCCAGTTTTTCCCCTTGGGGGAGCTGGCCCTACGTCAAAAGTGGGGTGTTTTTGCCCAGGCTAGAGGGAGATGTTTTGGCTCCCCAAGATTTTAGCCCAAGGGACACAGATTCTGCTGCGTCCCCTAGCACCCCCCCAATACACAAGGGATTAATTTTTGGCTCTGTGCCCCCGCCCCATGCCCAATGGGGCCATCATGGCTCAGTTGGGTGTCGGGACCCAGATGACCCCACAGTCTCAGCGACGGGAGGGCGGTGGAAGGCGACAGAGATCGGGTGGGGAGGGGGCCCAAGTGCTGTCTGTCTGTGCATCAGACTCCATCTCTCCCCCCTCCACGCCCAGAGCACCCTGATGGCATGGGGAAATCGCAGGGGAAGGGACCCACTGGGGAGAAGGGACCTGGAGAGAAGTGACCCCCAAAACCTGCAGGAGAGTAGGACATGCCTGAGCCATCTTAGGGGGATGCCTGGAGATGGACGGGTGCACGTGGGAGGGAGTGTGTGGGGATGCATAGGTAGATGGTTTGGGGGGGATAGATAGATGACTGGGGTGGCTAGATAGGGGGTGTATGGGTCTAAAGAGAGAGAAGAGTGGGGGGGAATGTATCTAGAGAGATAGAGGGGTGTATGTGGGGATGGATAGATAGAGTGTACAGGGATAGATGGATGGATGAGAGGGGTGTATGGGGATGGATAGATAGAGGGGGTGTATGGGGATAGATAGAGGGGGTGTATAGACAGATAGATAGATAGAGGGGGTGTATGGGGGTAGGTAGATCGATCCATAGATAGATCGATAGAAGTGTGTATGGGGGATCGATAGGTAAATAGAGGGGGTATATGGGGATAGGTAGGTAGGTAGGGGGTGTGCGTGGGGATAGATATATCGATTGATCCCCTGGTCATTTCTCTCCACACTATAGCTTTCCACAGGCGGGTCCGAGTGTCCCCAAGCTGCGGCGTGTATGGCGGGGGGGCCTCTGTTCAATTCCCCGGGGTGCGTCCGTCTGCCCGGGTCCGTCTCACTTACCATCTCCTCTCCGCGGGCGGGCGCAGCTGTTGGGAGGTCTGTGCTGGAGGGGAAGCTGGGCAGGCTGGGGAGTGCTCCAATCCCCCTGGGGTTATATAGAGCTCCCGGGGGGGTGCCGGGGGGGTGGTGACGTGCCAAGGGCTAACTATAGCAGCATCTTCAAGTTTGGCTCGGAGGAGCCCAGGGCTTGAAATAGATCCCGGCCGGGACGCTCCTTTCTTGGAGAAAGGAGACAGGAGAGGTGGGATCCCTCCAGTCTGCTTGGCCCCCAGGCTGCCCCACATGAAGCCCCCCATAGGGTCCCCCCCGACCCCATGTATTGCCCCAACATAGAGCCTGGCTCAGTCGATCCAGGTTCTGCCCCATTCACCTCCTCTGCTGCCCCTCGTGTGTCACCCCAATACCGGGCCCCATCTGATCCACGTCAGCCCCACTATGGGTCCCCCCTCTTTTGCATCATCTGCTGCCCCCCCATGTGTCACATCTTTATGAGTCCCCCTCTCTTGTCCCATCTGCTTCTCCCCCATGTGTCACCCCAATATGGATCCCCCAAAAGATCCAGATCTCATGCTCCTGCCCCATCTCCCCCTCCCCCCATATGGACCTCCCAGCTCTGGGCCTTCATGTGTGGCACCCCAATATGGGCCCTCCTACAAGGTTCAGATCCCCCCAGTCCCCTCTGAGGGACTTCTCTGCCGCCCCCAACCCCCATGTGTGGGCCACCCCTCTGTGGGTCCCCCCTATAATATTCAGCTATTGCTCCAACTCATCACACACGCACCCTGTCTCCTCCCTCCATGTGTCTCCCCAATAGAGGTCCCCACTGAAAGGATCAGTTCCCCCACCCTCCATGTGTCACCCCTATACAGGTCCCCCCACAAGATCCAAGTCCCCTGTTCCTGAACCTCTCCCCTTGCTCTCATTTGTGTCACGCCAATAAGGGTCCCCACTATGGGGTCACCCCATCCCACCCCAATGCTTGGCCTCTGTGCCCCAGGGCAGGGACTGTGTGGGACTATCCTGTGCGTGCCGTATCCCTCTGTCTGTCCCCCTCCCCGTTCCTGGCTATCGGGGCATCCCTGAGAAAGTTTCCTTCTCAAGACAGGCGGCACCAGCTGTCTCCTCAGAGCCACCGAGAAGTTGGCAGCCTTCATGCCACTCAGTCCAGCCCTGGGGTGGCCCTCCCCACCCCCAGGGCACACCGATCCCTGGTTAGGGGCCAGCCTCATGCCCCGCACCCAACACACACTCAGATCTACCACCTGCCCCCATGTGCCAAGGGCTGGCACAGGGGAGGGGGAAATCCGAGCTGGATAAGCCACGGGGTCGATCCTGGAGGACAAACCAGGCGAGATGGGTTGAGGGGCAAGTTGACGGGGAGGGGAATCTTGTGCATAAGCTCCCCCCACAACCCAGAGCTCCAAAGGACTCTGCAAACAGGCTCCAAATGATGCAATGGCCATCCTTAGGGCCCAGAGTGAACACGCATGCAGGTGAGGGCTGGGGGCGGGGGGCGCAGCCCTGTGTTATGGTTATAAACAGGAACCAGCGTCAGCTTTTTCAGGCTCCCTGTCCTACCCCACTCCCCTCCCAGAGAACCCAGGAGACCTGACTCCCAGCCCTCGCGTGTGAAGGGGGGATGGGAAGAGGCTGGGGGGGGGGAGGGAAAGGGGGGGGTCCTTCGGATCTTGATCCACATAAAGGAGAGAAGTGTCCAGGGGGAGGAGGGGCCGGCCCAGCCCCCCCAGCGCAGGGTAACCCCATCCCCAGGGGCTCCTGCAGGCCCTGCTGAGCCAACCCTGCCCTCCTGCCCCCCTAGGTGCTGGGCTGTTTCCGGCCCCCCCTTCTGCCACCCCCATGGGTGACCCCCCCCTGCACAGGGACCTGCCATTTCACCCCATGTGACCCCCCCTACTCCGCATGGGCAGCACCTGCCAGGAAAGCCTGGGACCTCACCCCTCCCCCAAGCTAGGCAGAGAACCCAGGAGTCCGGGCTCCCGCAACCCACCAGCCCCCACTCCCCTCCCAGAGCTGGGGAGAGAACCCAGGAGTCCGGGCTCCCAGCCCACCAGCCCCCACTCCCCTCCCAGAGCTGGGGAGAGAACCCAGGAGTCCGGGCTCCCAGCCCCCACCAGCCCCCACTCCCCTCCCAGAGCTGGGGAGAGAACCCGGTCCGGCTCCCAGCCCACCAGCCCCCACTCCCCTCCCAGAGCTGGGGAGAGAACCCAGGAGTCCGGGCTCCCAGCCCACCAGCCCCCACTCCCCTCCCAGAGCTGGGGAGAGAACCCAGGCGTCCGGGCTCCCAGCCCCCACTCCCCTCCCAGAGCTGGGGAGAGAACCCAGGAGTCCTGGCCCCCCCCCCCCCCCCCCCCCCCCCCCCCAGAGCTGGGGAGAGAACCCAGGAGTCCTGGCTCTCCCCCCCCCCCCAAGCTGGGCACCCCTTGACCAAACTCCCAGAATCCTTTTCAACGCGGCCAACCCCCAACTCCCGTCCCATTGGCTGCTGCTGTGCCCCTCCTCGCCTCCCTGTCCATTGGCTGCCGCTTAAACCAGCCCTCCTCTCCTATTGGCTGAGACAACCGCCCATCAACCGCCCAACTGTCACCAACGGCCCCTCCCCCTTGGCGGAGGGCGCCCCATTCTGAGCTTCCGGGAAGCTGCCCGCTCTTGGGTGTCCATTTGTCGAGGAGCCTGCCACTCCCGCCCTAAGTCCGCGCTCATTGGCCCGAGGAGTCGCCGGTCAGTTTCCCGCTCCGATGTTTTATTGGCCGACAGACAAGGCGCTCGGGCCGCCCGTGAAGCTGCAGGTGTTCCCGACACTAATTGGTTGAGCTGCGACCCCTTCTTGACGCTAATTGGCTGATCTAACGCCGGTCCTCCTGGGATTGGCTGGAAGGTCGCGTTAGATCCGCCCCTTCCTCTCACAGGCCCGCCTTTCCTGTCTCTGTATTGATTGGTTTAACCCCACCTTCCGATTGGGCGGCTGGGGCGATACCTCTGCTCCGATTGGCCACATCCCCATTGGTCCCGCCCCATCGCCCTAGCCCTTCTCTCTCACCCGCCCTTCCTCTTTGATCGCCATCTCCCCGATTGGCCGGAACCCCGACCTTCCTTGCCCTGACTGGCCCAGCCCGCAGCCGCTCCCGCCCACGCGGACCCGCCCGCCAGCCACCCTCCTCCCCTCCAATTGGCTGGCCCGGTTGCCCTCCCGGCCTGGGATTGGCCGCCCTCCCACGTGGCACTGCTGGGCTGCGCGCGCAGCCTGGGGGGGGGCGCCCTGGCTTCTGGTTGCTGGATGCTCAGGCTAAGGCAGGGACCCTGCCAGGCTCCTGCCTTTGCCTCCCTCCCCCGCCACTCTAGGCCAGGCTTCGGTGGGGGCAACTAGGGCCGCCCCCCCAAGGGCCGGGGGGGGGGAGGAGCCGGCTGTCGCCATGGAGATGGGGGCCGGCGACGCCCCGTCGCCCCCGCCCCGGTACAACGCCCCCCGCTCGGCGCTCTACGCCGCCAAGATGAGCGCCATGGCGACGCCACCCGCCCCGGCCCCCAGAGCCCCGGCCACGGCGCCCTCGGCCTCGGCCGGGCCCGGGGGCTGCGGGGCGGCGGCTGCGAGGGCGGCGGGCGGCCCGGCGGCGGCGGCGGCTCCAGGCACCGTGGGGGCAACTGGCAGCAGGGCGGCATCTCCGGCGGCGTCTCCGGGCAACCTGCCGGCGTCTCCGGGCAACCTGCCGGCGTCTCCGGGCAACCTGCCGGCGTCTCCGACAGCTACCGGCTGCGGGGCGGCACCTCTAGGCAACGGGACGGCGTCGCCGGGCAGCGCGGCAGCGGCGACGAGCAGCGGGGTGGCGTGTCCGGCGCTGACGGACAGCGTCGCCGATGCGGCGACGTCTCCCGTGGCAACAGCACCCGTAGCCAGCATGGCGGCTGCCCCGGGGATGGTTTCCATGGCAACGACGCAGCTGGCCGGGGTCGACGGGGTGGCGGGTCCCACGGAAGCCGTCACCGCGGCGGCGGCCTCTCCCACGCCGTCTCCCGCCATGGAAACTGCACCCCCGTGCACCCCGGTTAAGCCCCTCCCGGCGCCCTTCCCCTCGCCGGCCGTGATGGTGGTGGCGCCGGAGACCAGCTCCCCCACTGCGACGGAGGGGCCCACAGGCCTGGGTTCCACCGCCTCCCAGGACACGGGGTCGCAGTCCAGCCTGGGTCCCGGAATCCCACCTCCCAGGCCCCCGCCGGCTCCAGACACCCTGAGTTACCTGGATTCGGTCAGCCTCATGTCGGGCACCTTGGAGTCCCTGAGTGGCCCCGGCTTCCTGGACGACGTCAGCTCCCTGGGCTCGGACTCGGAGATCAATGGCTTGGCCTACCGGAGAACAGACAAATACGGCTTCTTGGGGGGCAACCAGTACTCGGGGATGCCGTGAGTACCCGAGCCACCCTCCCTCATGTTTGCTCTTTCCTCTATGGGGGCGCTGGCTCTGGTCTGGCGCCAGGGCAGGGGGCTGGCTGGCTCACAGGGGTGGGAAATGGGGACCCAGGACCTTTCCCCTCTAGGGGCGCCATCTCTGAGCTGGTCCCAGGGCACTGAACGGGGCCGGGGTGGGGAATGGACCCAGGGCCTTTCCCCTCTAGGGGGCACCAGCTCCCATCTGTTCCCAGTGTCGGACAGCCATTCCCCGCTGCCCCCCCCCCCGTCACTGTCCCCAGCAGGAAGCAAGTGTGGTGGGTCTTAGCCCAGATTTGTGCAGGGCCCGCAGGTGCTGCCCAGCCCAGCCCTGGCAGCCTCAGCAGAGAGGCCGAGAGCTGTGGAGTGCCTGGAGCAGGGATCTTCCCTGCTCTCCCGACCCAGAGCCTCCCCGCCCAGCCCCATGCTGCCTCCCAGGAATATCGCCTTGGGGGAGCCATGCCTGGAGCCCGCTTAGTTCTGTTTTCTGTCCCTGGGAGCCTCTGTCCCTCCATCCCCCTCCCAGGCCGAAACAAAACTCCTAGCAAACTTGAGATCACTTCCCCGTCCGGCCCCCTGTCTCCCCTCGCCCCCCACAAACTAGCCCTGGTCGGAGTTGGGGGGCAGGGGCCGAGACCTGGCCTGCTTGTCACATGGGTGGCTTGACTGAAGCAGGTGTCTTTCCACGATGGGTGGGGTCTATCCCATCCCTGGGGCTCAGGGCCTCTCCCGCCATGCAGCTGAGGCCCTGGGGGCTGTGTGCAGGCTCAGGGACCGGGGGCGGGGAATGACTGAGTGGAGGAACCACGGAGTTGGAAGCTAGGCCCAGGGGCTGATCTGGAGGCAGGGGAAACTGGGTTGGGGAGACCGAGGGGAGGGGAGAAGGCAAGACCAGATTGGCTGGGCCGAGGGGCTGATCCTGGTGGGGAAGGGAGCAGGGGAAGACCAGGATGAGGGGTCAGATCAGATGGGGTGGGGAGACTGGGCCTGGCAGGGAAGGATTGAGCTGGGGCTGAGGGGGAAGAGGTGGGCACAGGTATGGATGTGGGGGAAGACTTGGGTGTGGTGTGGGGCTTGGGTGGGGAGGGGCTGATGCTTGTGGGAAAGGGGGAGACTGGGCGTGGGGGGAGAGACTGGGCCGTGGGATGGCGGGGCTGTGGGGAGAGAGACTAGGCCGTGCGGGGAGAGACTAAGCTGTGGAAGGGCTGGGCCGTGGGGGGAGACAGACCCTCCAGACACAGCTCTGCAGTGGGGGGAGATGGTGTAGAAGGGGCATCTCCCAGCTTCTCCCTCCCCCCCACGCTCATGCAAACACCCCCACTTCCCTTCCTGAGTTTCTCAATGAGGCAGCCCCAAGCCACCACTTCCTGTTTCCCCTCCCTGCTCTTCCTGTTTCTCCGCCCTCCCCCTGCCCATCCACTCCCTACCCTGGTCCTGTGGAGTCTGAGCTCAGTCTGGACCCCCTCCCCCTGGCATATACCCCAAGGCCACCTCCATGGACCGTTCTGCCCTTGGCCTGTCTGCTGAGGCTGCTGGGGGCCTCATCATCACCCATGGCAGGGCAGGGAGTGGGGGGGTGGGGAATGGAGAGGCTGGGGACGCATTGGCTGAGACCCAACAGACTCATCACATGACAGGGCATCCATTTGGGATGGCTTCCCCGTTTTTGATCTAGGGGGGAAAGGCTCCGTGTCCCTTTCCCCGTCCCCTTCCCCTTCCCCCTGAGCCAGCCAGTTCCCCAGCCTGGGGCAGGGTCGGAGCTGGCGCGCCCCAGAGAGGGAAGGCCCTGTCTCCCCCTTCGGTTGGGCCTTCACACAGCTCCGGGAAGGGGAGAGAACAGGCAGAGGGGCTGCTCGGGAATCGGCAGCGCGAGGCGTTTTGAAGTAGGAACTGAGAGCTCATCTGCTGGTGCTGGGAGGCTGCTGCGGTGGGGCTGGAGGGGAGCCTCCCTGGCTCGATCGGATGCAAAATCATTTCAGACCCACGTGTTTCCTTCTTCCTTTTGGGGGAATGGAACCGGGCTGGTCTGTTTCACTTTGGACCTTGTTAATTTCACTTCCGGGTCAAACCCACCCATGGCATCCCTGGGATGGAGCTTTGGTAGAGCTGGGGGTGGGGGGCAGGGCTGGGCTGGGCTGGCAGGGGGCTGTGGTTAAGGAGTGAGGGGTACCGGCAGAGCTGAGGGGGGAGCTGAGGTCCCTATTATAATTACAAACATCCTAGGTGGCTTGATAGGGCCCCAGTTCGCATTGCAGTCTGGGAGCCGACGTACCCCAGTGGGGGTGGTCTGCTTCCTGCCCCCCCATCCCCTCCTGTGCCCTCCTCTGGGTGGGGCAGCTCCCAGCACCAGCAGCCCTGCTCCCCCCCCCATGGCACTGCTGTGGGGACGTCCTCCCCTTGCAGTACCTGGCCGGTGGGGTGTGGCTGCTCCGTGCCTCTGATTCCCTCCCTCCCCGCAGGGAGAGCGCCATCCCGGTGGACGTGGCGCGGCAGCGGGAGCTCAAATGGCTCGATATGTTTTCCCACTGGGATAAATGGCTGTCACGGCGATTCCAGAAGGTGAGTAGCTTCTGCAGCCCCGGCCGCTCCCAGCAGGGGTCGCTGTGGGGAGAGGGCGGGGCGCCGGCTGTGGGGGAGCTCCCAGCTACTCCAGGACTGGCTGCTCCCAGCAGGGGGTGCTGTGGGGATGGGGCGGGGCGCTGTGTGCTGTGGGGAGGGGGCGGGGCGCCGGCTGTGGGGGAGCTCCCAGCTACTCCAGTCCTGGCCGCTCCCAGCAGGGGTCGCTGTGGGGAGAGGGCGGGGCGCCGGCTGTGGGGGAGCTCCCAGCTACTCCAGGACTGGCTGCTCCCAGCAGGGGGCGCTGTGGGGATGGGGCGGGGCGCTGTGTGCTGTGGGGAGGGGGCGGGGCGCCGGCTGTGGGGGAGCTCCTGGCTCCTCCAGTCCTGGCCGCTCCCAGCAGGGGTCGCTGTGGGGAGAGGGCGGGGCGCCGGCTGTGGGGGAGCTCCCAGCTACTCCAGGACTGGCTGCTCCCAGCAGGGGGCGCTGTGGGGATGGGGCGGGGCGCTGGGCGCTGTGGGGAGGGGGCGGGGCGCCGGCTGTGGGGGAGCTCCCAGCTACTCCAGTCCTGGCTGCTCCCAGCAGGGGTCGCTGTGGGGAGAGGGCGGGGTGCCGGCTGTGGGGGAGCTCCCAGCTACTCCAGGACTGGCTGCTCCCGGCAGGGGGCGCTGTGGGGAGGGGGCGGGGCGCCGGCTGTGGGGGAGCTCCCGGCTCCTCCAGTCCTGGCTGCTCCCAGCAGGGGGCGCTGTGGGGAGGGGGCGGGGCGCTGCCTGTGGGAGGAGCTCCTGGCTCCTCCAGTCCTGGCTGCTCCCAGCAGGGGGCGCTGTGCTGTGCTAACATGGCGGCTCCTGTTTGGGCAGGTGAAGCTGCGCTGTCGGAAGGGAATCCCCTCTTCTCTCCGTGCCAAAGCCTGGCAGTTGCTGTCGAACAGCAAGGAGCTCCTGGATCAGAACCCCAACAAATTTGAGGTGCGCGGCCTCCCCTTGGGGGGGTGGTTCTGGGGGCGGGGAGAGACATGAAGGTGACGGGCAGCTGGGGCAGAGTCTCACCCCTGTCCCTGTGACTCCTAGGAGCTGGAGCGCCAGCCCGGGGACCCCAAGTGGCTGGATGTGATTGAAAAGGATCTGCACCGGCAGTTCCCCTTCCATGAGATGTTTGCCGCCAGGGGAGGCCATGGGTGAGTGACCAGGTTGGGGCGCCTCCATTGGACCAGAACCTCCTAGTCCCTTTCCTGAGCTGGATCAGAGCCGGCGCCCCCTAGAGGGCAAGGCCCCGTGTCCCATTCCCAATCCCATGAGCCAGCCAGTCCCCGCCCTGGGGCTGGAGCCGGCGCCCCCTAGAGGGCAAGGCCCCGTGTCCCATTCCCAATCCCATGAGCCAGCCAATCCCTGTCCTGGTATTGAAGCCGGCGCCCCCCTAGAGGGCAAAAGCCCCATGTTTCATTCCCCATTCCCTGAGCCAGCCAAATGTCCTGGGGTTGAAACCGGCACCCCCTAGAGGGCAAGGCCCCGTGTCCCATTCCCCATCCCCTGAGTCAGCGAGTCCCCGCCCTGGGGCTGGAGCCGGCACCCCCTAGAGGGCAAGGCCCCTCCGTGTGTCTAACCCCCGTCCCTTTCCTGCCCACAGGCAGCAGGATTTATACCGCATCCTAAAAGCCTACACCATTTACCGGCCCGATGAAGGGTACTGCCAGGCCCAGGCCCCCGTGGCTGCTGTCCTGCTGATGCACATGCCCGCTGAGGTAAGAGCAGCCCGCTAGCCCCCCCCTGTGGCTGAGCGAGAGCTTCCCAAAAGGAAGGGGGGAAGTCCCAGCGTTATGCCTCCCCCGATCTCTTCCTTCTTACATGTCTGGCTGGTTTTACCTCCGGGCACTGCTTGGATTTGGGGCTGGGAGTCAGGACTCCTGGGTTCTATCCCAGCTGTGAACAGGGAGTGGGGGCTGGTGGATTAGAGGAGGGGAGCCTGGGAGCCAGGACTCCTGGGTTCTGTCCCAGCTCTGGGAGGCGAGTGGGTCTAGTGGTTAGAGCTGCGGGGCTGAGGTTCTATCCCCTTCTCTGGGCAATACCCCTCCCATCTGACATAGTGTCTATGCAGTTTGTCCGTCTGTCCAGGTCTCTTTTGCATGACTGTGTTTTATGTGTGTCTGTGTTTATGTGTTTATGTGTCTGTGTTTTATGTGTGTCTGTGTTTTCCGGCTCCTGTTTCTTCCTCTGTCTCTCCAGCCTGAAGCATTGTCTGTTGCTCTGTCCATCCCAGTCTGGTCAGTCTGTCCGTGGCGTGCATCATCTTTCCCTGGTTACACATGTTGGGGTTTCCCCCCCAACCTTCCCCTTCCACCATTTCTGTGTTTTCAGACTGGCTGTGGGTGTGCCCGGGACTCTCTTAGGGTGTGTCTGCACCGCAAAAACCTCTGTGTGTGTTTTAACCCCCGGTAGCTAACTGGAGTTAAAATAGCAGTAACACCTTAGCGGCTATTCCAATCCGAGTTAGCTGATGTGGATTAGGAACATGCCTTTGTGTGTGTGTGTGTGTAGACATATCCTAGGTGCGTGCCTGGGTCTCCTCTCTTGGGGAGTCTCTGAGACCTGGTCTAAAGCTAGAACTTGAAGTGACCTATCTGTGCCACTCCGGGCTGGGAGAATCTCGCTCTGAGCACCGCAGTGAGGTCGACCTACGCCCCAGGGTAGACGTGGCTCGGTCAACAGAAGGAGCTGGATTAACCACATGGAGGGGAAGAAACCCGTTCTGTCGACATAGCGCAGACATGCCTTGGGGTTGGATCCTTTCTCTCTAGTGTCTGTTGCGTCTCTTGGTGTCTAGGTGTCTGTCTGTCTGATGTGTCTCACTTCTCTCCGTCCCCGCAGCAAGCCTTCTGGTGCCTCGTGCAGATCTGTGAGAAGTACCTGCCAGGTTATTACAGTGCCGGACTGGTGAGTAGCACCCCCCACTGGTGGAGCAGGGCAGGGTGGTCTCGGGGCTGGGGTCCCCCTCCCCCTCTCTGGGAGGGGGATTCTGCCAAGTGATCATTGGTGGAGAGGGGTGTGTTGGTTTTGGGGGATGGGGACAGGGGGGAGCGTATGGGGAAGGAGGGGGGTTGATGGCAGGAGATGGGGAGCCCTGTGGGGGAGAGCAGTGAGGAATGGGGGTGAAGGGGGAGTGTTGGGAGATGCAGGGGGGACAAAGGAGGGTGTTTGGGGATGGGATGGGGCAGGGGGGGAATGGCAGAGTTGGGGAAGGGGCTGATGTGTTCCCGTCCCCTGGCAGGAAGCCATCCAGCTGGATGGAGAGATCTTCTTTGCCCTGCTGCGCCGGGCATCCCCCATGGCCTATCGGCACCTGAAGAAATACAAGATCGACCCCATCCTCTACATGACGGAGTGGTTCATGTGCATCTTCTCCCGCACCCTGCCCTGGAGTTCTGTGCTGCGTGTCTGGGATATGTTCTTCTGCGAGGGTGAGATGTCTGCCAGTTCTGTATCTCCGTCCAGCCCTCTGAATGAGTGTCACTGTCCAACACAATCCATCAGCCCAGTTTAGTCCAACCCAGCCAATCAAACCAAACGAAACTTCCAACTCAGTCCATCATCCTATCCCAATCCTCCCTCCATCCATCCATCCGACCTACCCAACCCATTCTCCATCCATCTATCTGTCCAGCCAACCCAACCCATTCCACATCCATCCATCCGACCAACCCAACCATCCATTATCCCATGTCATCCATCCAGCTGACCCACCCAACCCATTCTCCATCCTTCCATCCATCCAACCAACCCAACCATCCATTATCCCATCCCAACCCACCCTTCCTTCGTCCATCTGACCAACCCAACCCATTCTCCATCTATTCGTCTGACCAACCCAACCATCCATCGTCTCATCCCAACCAGCCATCCATCCAGCTAACCAACCCAACCCATTCTCCATCCATCCGTCTGACCAACCCAACCAGCCATCCATCGATCCATCCGTCTGACCAGCCCAACCCATATCCCATCTATGTATCTGACCAACCCAACCATCTATCCAACTGACCAACAGTACCATCCATCCATGTGACCAACCCATCCCGTGTCCATCCAGCCATCCCATCCATCTGATTAGGCCAACCGATCTCCCATCCCAGCCAACCATCCATTCCCCTGACCAGCCCAACCCATTTCCTATTCATCCAACTGTCCCCTCCAACCCACTGTCCATCCATTTGACCACCCAGCCCACTCTTATCCATACATCTGACCTATCCACCCCAACCAGCCAACCACCCATTGATCCATCTGACCCAGCCATCCCGTCCAACCAACCACTCAACCCAGTCCAAATCAACCATCCATCCCTCAACCACTCCATACAACCCAATCCAACCCAACTCAACCCTGTCCCTCCAAACCAACCATCCGTCTGATCAGCCCAACCCATATCAACCATGCGTCCAACCCAACTCACGGCATCAACCCAATCTGTTAATTCATCTTCCATCAACTCAACCATCCCATCCAATTCAACCCAGTCCAACCCAACCCTGTCATCCTATCCAACCCAACCCAATCCATCAACCCAGAGGTCTCATCCAGCCCAACCATCCATCCAACTGACCCACCTCTGCTCTCCTTCCTGTGTGTGCATGGCTGACACCCAGCACCAGGTCCCTGAAACCCCATGACTCACACCAGTCTCTCTACCCTTTTCCCCACCCCAGGGGTGAAGATCGTCTTCCGGGTGGGCCTGGTCCTTCTCCGGAATGCTCTGGGCTCGGTGGACAAGCTGCGCAGCTGCCAGGGCATGTATGAGACCATGGAGAAGCTGCGCAACCTGCCAGCTCAGAGCATGCAAGAGGACTTCCTCATCAACGAGGTGAGCCCCATCCAGACATGCTGAGTAAGGGCCTGGCTGGTTCAGGGTGTGGGAGGGAGACCACCATGGCTCAGCAGGGGGCGCTCTCCCCTGGTAGTTGGTGTTGGCCCCAGTGTGGCACTAGGGCAGGGGTGGGCAAACTTTTTGGCCCAAGAGCCACATCGGGGAATATAAGTTGTATGGCGGGCCATGACTGCTCACTAAATTGGGGTTGGGGTTCAGGAGGGGGTTAGGGCTCCGGTTGGGGGTGCGGGCTCTGGACTGGGACCGAGGGGTTCGGAGGGCAGGAGGGGGATCAGGGCTGGGGCAGGGGTGTGGGAAGGGGTGCAGGCTCCGGCTGGGGGTGGGCCTGGGGATGAGAGGTTTGGGCTGCAGGAGGGTGCTCTGGGCTGGGATCGAGGGGTTTGGAGAGCGGGAGGGGGATCAGGGCTGGGGCAGGGGGTTGGGGCGTGGGGAGAGGCTCAGGGGTGCAGGCTCCAAGCGGCGCTTACCTCAAGCGGCTCCCAGAAGCAGCGGCATGTCCCTTCTGTGGCTCCTACGTGGAGGCGCGGCCAGGCAGTTCTGCACGCTGCCCTATCCACAGGCACCGCCCCTGCAGCTCCCACTGGAGCGCTGGAGGTGGCCATTGGAGTGGATAGAAGCCGGAGCGGAGCCAGGCTGGAGCGGGGCAAGCTCCAGACCCCGCTCCCCAGAGGGAGCTTGCAGGCCAGCTTAAAACGGCGGGTGGGCCGTAGTTTGCCCACCCCTGCACTAGGGGGTGCTGTGCGACAGGGGCTGGGGTGGGTTACCCAGTAGGGGGCACTCTGGGTCGTGCAGAGCCAGGCTAGTACTCTAGAGGGTACTGTGCCGCCGGGAGCCTGAGCGGCGTCTCCCGCCCACAGGTGGTGAACCTGCCTGTGACGGAAGCGCTGATTGAGCGTGAGAACACCACGCAGCTCAAGAAGTGGCGTGAGAACCGCGGGGAGCTGCAGTGTAAACCCTCCCGCCGCCTCCATGGCTCCCGCGCCATCCACGAAGAGTGTCACCGCATGAACCCCGCGCTGACCCCCAGCACCAGCCTGCTCAGCCTCACCGGCTTCAAACAGCGGGCGACCCGCGGTGCTAGCACGGGGGGCAACTTCTCCCCCGCCCACCCCACGGGCAACCTGGCCGCCTCCGCTGACCCCGCTCCAGCCGCTACCCCAGGCCAGGTGGTGTCGGAAGGGCTCCACGCCGCTCTGCCCTCCCCCACGGGGAACAACGCGCCGCTGGGGGGCCCCAAGAAGGGGGGAACGAAGGAGAAGAAGAAGGAGAAGGAGCGGGAGAAGCAGGAGAAGGAGCGCGAGCGGCTGCAGAAGGAGCGGGAGAAGCAGGAGAAGAAGGAGAAGGAGAAGCTGGAGCGGAAGCAGCAGAAGGAGCGCGCCAAGGAGGAAGCCAAGCAGAAGAAAGAGAGGAAGGTCTCCATGCGCCGGAAGGAGCCCAAAGCCCCACCCCGCGCTGAGGATGGGGGGCAAGATGGGGATCCCCCGGTGGGCTCTGTGCTGCAGGACACTTACTTCTGAGCTGAAGTGGGGGGAATGACAGCGGGGGGGCCCTGCTGCCTCCGACCCACCACAGATTCAGCCAAGGACCAAGGGGTGGGGAGACTCAGATGGGGATGGGGTCGCTGACTGGGAGGAAGCTGGAATCTAAAGGACAAAAGGGTGTCGGGGTGGGCCAGAGAGTGTTGAGCTCTGAGCTACCCATCGGGGGCGCCCCACAATCTTCCTCTTGACAGGAGGGGACCTGCTTAACGACTTTGAAAGCCAAACGACTACTGTGCTCTCCCCACCCTCCCCCTCTTTTCTGTGTCCTCCTCTCCCATCGGTGGAACAAACAGGTACACCCCTCCCCCCAAGCGCTTTCCCAGAGGTGTGGGGCATGTCCCCCTCAAGTCTTAACAAGAATATAATTGTATTAATAATCGTCTGGCCCGTTTACTGTATATAGGAGAATCCTCTTTAAACTATTTAACCACTCCAGCCCTACGCTCCCCCTGTTCCCTTCCTCAGGAGAGGTTGGTTTTAAGAGCCACCCTCTTGCCCCCTTGCTAGCAGGAGCACTCACTCCTCTTTGTGCTGTTCACCCCCAAACGCAGTTCTTGTTGATGGACGCAGGTATCAATAAAGTTCTTCTACTTTGACAGTCACTGGCAAGATGGATGAACTTTATTGACAGCCCAATGTATGCGGACAGGGCATCAGTTCCCAACACCATATTTTGTTACTGATCAATAGCCCAGTGTTCCCCAACGGCATCAGTAAAGCTCATCCGCCTCTCAAGAAGGCATCGATAAAGTCACATGCCAGGTGAGAAACTTTATCGATAGCCCAGTGCTTGCGGACAAGAGAACAAGAAAGTTCTTCCATCTCCCAGCACAGGATTTTTGTGGCAAGGAGTAAACTTTATCAGTAGCCCAGTGTTGGACAAACCGGTCTGTTCTTTTGTCTGCCAACCCTGGGCTGTCAATAAAGTTCACTCCTTGTCCCCACCTAGGGCTTCATTACTTGTGTGGCACCTTGGCGGCCCACTGTTATGGTCTCCTTCTGGGAAAGATGGTGAACTTTATTGGTGGCCCACTTTGCCGACAAGGTGCCAATAAAGCTTCTTCCCTGTAAGAGTGGGGGGATGAACTTTATTGACAACCCAGTGTTCGCAGCCAGAGCATGGCATTCCATGTAAGGGCAGGGATGAGCTTTATTGACGTCCCAGTGTTTGCAGACAGGGTATCAATAAAGTTTATTTCACTTGAGAGCCGCGATAAATTTTATCGAATACCCTGCGTTGCGGGACAGGGAGCCAATAAAGACCCCCAGTGGCTGATGCCGTGGGGCTTTTTCAGGAGCAACTGTATCCAGCTAGCACCGCATAGCCCCTCCGAATTTGCCCCGGGGGGGGATTAAATTGGCCCCTAGACAATAACCCCCCTCCCAGGATGCCCCCTTGGTTATCTCTTTTGTTTTTTCAATTCCCAGCCTCCCCTCCCCCGGCTTATTTGTGACTCTTCCCCCCTCCCCTCCCCATCAACACACTCCAGTCCCCCTAGACCCATCAAACAACCCCCCCCCCCCCCAAAAAAAAGCATGAACAAACACCCTTAAAATAACTGGAATTTTCTCTCTCTCTGAATGTGGTACGCTGTGCGACCACTAGGGGACACCCTCTGGCCCTACGGAGGGACAGCAGGGGTCTCTGGTTGGGTCTCAGATGGGACGCTAACGCTTTCACGCTGGCTGGGAGAGGGGTGGGGCTGACCCACTGGGAACCCCCCAACTCCCGCTGTCTTGTGTAAAGCTAGCAAAGAGCGGCAGGGCTTCTGGGTTCTATCAGGAGGGGAGTGGGGTCTAGTGGGTTAGAGTGGGGGGTGGGCTGGGAATCAGGACTCCTGGGTTCTATCCCCAGCTCTGCCACTCCCTGCCCACGTGACTTCAACAAAGTCACTTTCCCCCTTTTCTGTGCCTCAGTTTCCCCTCTTTGCAAGACATGGCTTTAACTTAACCTTGTAGAGTCACTTCTTGGAGCAGGAGACCACATTACTGGTCTTTGCCTCCAGCCAAGCCTCATTCCCACAATTCACCTCTCCCACAAACCATGTTGTTAACAGCCCCCCCAGCCAATGTAACTCCCATCTGCCACCCAGCAAGCCCCCCTTTTCTCCCTCCCACCCATTGTATATACGTGTCTCTCTATACACATATATTATATATATGTCTCAGTATTGTAATTATGTATACAGACATTTTGGGTTTGGCCATGAGGTCTTATTTAATGGGACAGACACTGGAATATAGACATACAGCCCGCCCGCTCCAATCCCTAGCCTCTCTTTTTATGTCACCCCCATCCTGGGCCGGAAGGGCAGAAAACCGGATGTTTACGTTTTACATCTCTCCTCTTTTTCCTTCCTTCTCCGTTCCTCCCCCCGCCCCTTTCTGTTGTTCGTGCCTCTTTCTTGGAGATTTTATTTTCTTGCTTTGTTTAAAAAGGTTAACAAAAGAAAAAATATTGCATACTTGGTGGAAGACGCAGCGCTGTTCTTTGGGGGGTCATGGTTGTGTTGGGGGACAAGGCTCTCTGAGGATCATTTGGGTTGTAGGTCTCAGAATCGTGGGCTGTTGGGGGGGTGTCACTGGATTGGGGGGTATAGTGCTCTGAGGGCCTCTGGGTTGCGGGTGATGCATCTTTGAGAATCATTGGCTCTTGGAAGGTCATTTGAGAATCATTGGCTGATTGGGGGTCATGGCTCTTTGAGGGCCGTTGGGTTGTGAGTCTGGCTCTTTGAAGGCTGGGTTGGGGGTCACAGTTCTTTGAGGGTCACTGGATTCTAGGTCTTTGATAGTCACTGGGCTCTTCGAGGGTCATTGGGTTGGGGGTCATGATGGTTGTTTGAAGGTCATTGAGTTCTAAGACTTTGAGGGTCATTGGTTCTTTTAGGGTCATTTCAGAATCATTGGGGGTCATGGCTCTTTGAGTCATTGGATTGTCAGTCTGGCTCTTTGAGGGTCATTGGATTGTAGGTCTTTGAGAATCTTGTTGGGGGTTGTGGTTCTTTGAAGGCCCTTTGTGTTTTAGATCTCCGAGAATCATTGGCTGATTGGGGATCATGGCTCTTTGAAGGTCGTTGGTTTGGGGGTCTTGGAGGATCTTTGGGTCTTTGAGGGTCATAGTTCTTTGAGAGTCCTTAGACTGTGGGTCTTAGTTCCTTGAAAGTCCTTTGGGGGTGTCACAGGTGAACAGGCTTGGTGCTCTTGAACAGCCGTGAATTGGGCCCTCTCCAGGACGCGTGCACACTGGGGTACGTCTCCTGGGCTTCACCACCTCCTTGGACCGACCTCAGATCCATCAGCACCCGTGTTCCACGCAGTGAGCTTCCCGCAGCGAGTCCACCTGAGTAGGACACCTTACGCACCCCCCCAAAGGGGCCGGGCACCCTAACTTCTGCAGTCAGCAGTGACTCCCAGCCAGGGGGGTACACCAGAAGGGTTTGTTAGTCATCTGGAACAGCGGAGAAACGTTCATCATTCGCACAGAGAGCAGGACATCACAGCAAAGTCCATCTTGGTCAGACCTAGAGCCCAGGGCTGCTTTCTGACTTCCTGAGACCCGTCCAGCAGCATGTGTCTCTGTCCCACGGCAGGCGCCCCAGCTCATGGCTTTGATTTCCAACTGGTCAGAACTGGCTGGCTTCCTGCCCAGGCCAGGCTCGTCAGTTGCCAGGAAACAAATTGTCCGTTGGCTGGGCCTAGGCAGCTAGGGACACTCACACTTTGTCCTCTACGGGTCTCTGCAAAGATCAAATGCCCGTGTCCCACCACCTGGTTAATCATGGAGCACATGAGGGAAACAGACAGTATTCGTACAAACCATGAAGAAACGCCCCCCCACTTCATCACAGAGTGTCAGTGGGTTCTGGTCCTGGGGTTGTTCTGGATCACTGGCTTGAGGGTTGCTGAGTTTTGAGTCTCAGTTCTTTTAGGGTTACGGTGTGAGGTTAGCGAGTGCCAGGACTTCTGGGTTCCATCCCCAGCTCTGGGAGGGAAGTGGGGCTTAGTGGGTTAGAGCGGGGAGGGGAGGGCTGGGAACCAGGACTCCTGGGTTCTGTGGGCGGGGAGCAAGGTCTAGTGGGTTAGAGATCTTGACTGGGTGGACGAGCAGTGTCCACAAGGGGCCGGGCTGTGAATTATGGAAGGACAACGCCGTGCAGTTCTGTGCTTGCGTAGGTTCGGAGAGGACGGTGGGGGACTGGGTCCCGTCCCCAAGGGCGGGGGCTTGGAACAGAAACGGTTGCAGCACCATTGTTGAAGGAGGTCAGAGCTAGAGTCTGGAGGGACAGATGGGGACGATCCTGCCCCAGGCGGGCATGGGCTACGTGGGTCTTGATGGAGAGTCTCCTTCTCTGCTGGTCTCCGTGGCACGAGATCTTCCTTTGGTGCGGGTGGGGATTGGCTGAAGTGAACTGGGATGTTCTCAGACCTCAGAGCTGACCCTAATGCCTCGATGCCGTGCTAGGGGGCGCTGTGCTGCATGGAGCAGGGTGGGGGCTCTTCAGGGGGCGCTCTCCCCTGGCAGTCAGTGCTCCTGCTCCCCACTGCGCCCCCTGCTGGGAGAGGGCGGGGCTGGAGTAGCCGGGAGCTCCCCCCACAGCCAGCACCCCCCCCTCCCCACAGCGCCCCCTGCTGCTGGCTGGATGTGACCAAATGGTGAATTCACACGGCTGGTACCAGGGCCTGGATACGATAATTTTATTATTGTAAAGGCATCTTCACAGTGTAAATATTTGGCAAATATTTTGTCCCCATTTCCCAGTCACCCCAGACTACAAAGGCTTAATCCCGACCTGCAGCCCCTGCTAGCCTGCCCCTGGGTTCCCTATAGTTTCTCCTGTATTTGATGGCAATGAATGTGGATTCCCTACCCCCTCCAGCTCGCCTCCTTTCCCCGCTCCCTCTCTCCCTACTCCAAATCAATCAGGTCCCCCTGCACCGTCTGGGCCCCTCCTGCTCTCTCCTCCCTCCACCTCACCCTCAGTTTCACAATCTCCTTCCCAAACTGCCGGTGAAGCCCCTCAAAATCCGGCAATCCCACTTCTGACACCAATGGGCTGCACTGTGCAGCCCCCTCCTCCGGTGGTGTCACCCTGAGGGCCCCGCTGTCCCGGTACTGTCCCTCCAGCTCCGTCAACAGGACCCGCAGGTAGTCGAAGCTGGCTGTGCTCAGAGCCCGCACCCAGCCCTCCATGGAAGTCTGGTCTTCAGCAGCCATCTTGTAGGCCCGGTGGCCCAGCGGACCCTGAGGGTAGGAGATCTGGAAGGTGAAAGGCTCCGTGGCGGATTCCTGTAGCTCCACGGTGCAGCCTTCCAGGAGGATCAGCCCCAGCGGCTCGCGGTCCCCCGGCCGCTCCCAGTAAAAGAGCAAGTTCCCCCGCAGCTCACACCAGCGGCGCTGATAGCTGCTGCTGCGTTCGCTCTTCTTGTAGAGCCGCCCCTGCCGGTCGGGGGGCGCCGCCATGCGGGAGTAGCCCAGGACGCTGCTTTCATGCAACTTCATGTGGCCGGGGACCTGGGAAGGGGGAGACAGGGAATGGGACCTGGGGCCTTTCCCCTCAAGGGGGCACCGGCCCCAGGGCGGGCGCTGGCTGGCTCAGGAGGGCAGGGAATAGGAGATGGGGCCTTTCCCCTCCCGAGGGTGCCCGCCCCAAGGTGGAGACTTTACCTGCCTTCTCCTGTTTCTGTGATCAGCCGGATCCCCCGTTGTCCTGGAAATCTGCTGCCCCTTTGGGGCGTGGGGGCTCCCCAGTTTTCCCTTCTCTCTCTGGGTCAGAGCAGGTGTCACTTTTAAGGTCCAGCTATTTGACCTTATTTGTCCCTTCAATCCAGCTATGAGCCCTGGACTCCTGTGTCCGCCGTGGGGGGGTGCACCGGTGGCTATCCAGGGGTGCAGCCCCTCTGGGCCCCCTTCTTATCCCCGCCCTAGGGCACCTTACTGGGCATGGGAACAGAATAGCTAGAACAAGGAACTATAAGGAAGTTGCCTAGGCTGGAGTTCCCCTTGGTCCTAAGGAGATCCATGTTCCTGGGGGAGTTTGGGGGGGACAGGGAGACTGATTGGGGGGGCTGTCCCAGATTAGAGGGTGTCCCCCCCCCAAAAAACTAAGACCAGCCCCGGTTAAACACAAGGGGGGGGGTCATACCACATCCTTAGCCCCAATTTGGGGGATCTGGCTACCTCGGGTTGGGGGCCCCCACCTAGATGAGGGAGGTGTTCCCCAGGAAGGTGCGACTGCCCCTGGAGAAATACAAGGGGGTTCCCAAAGTTTAAGCTCAGGGTAGTGGGGGATCCGGAGACCCCTTCTGGTTTCTTCCCTTGCTGGAAACGTGCCCCCCATTTCCCAGGGTCTGGGGATAAATTTGTGCAGGGGGGGGGTTATACAGGGCCCTGCCAAATATTCCTCTGGGGTTGATCCCGGCCTCTCCCTCGGAGTTTAATCCTGATCCGTGGGGGCTGAATGGCTGTCAGGGGGACCCACAGGTGTGACCCCAGGTGGGTTGGGGTTCACCCCCCCCTACAGGGGCAGGGGCATCCTGGGGGGTGCCCCGGGCTGAAAACGCCACCGGCCCTTCCCAGGGGCTTGCGGGCGTCAGACCCGCGGGCAAGGGGGCAGGCCGGTCTCCGATCCTACGGCGGGGGCACAGGGGTTTTCGTGTGTGTGTGGGGTGGGGGGGCCCCCTGACAAAATCAGGCGCGTGGGGGGGTATGTGGGGGGAGCAGCTTGTCCCAGCGGGGGGCAGAAGGGGTGGGGGCGGTTGGGGTACGGGGTGGGGGGGAGTATCCCCCAGATGCCGTTATAGGGGGGCTGGGGGCTCTTGGGGACTAGGGCTGCGGGGCCCCATAGTGGGGGGATGCGGGGGGGGGACGTGGCCCCGTGCTGGGGGATGGGGAGGCACGGGGGGGGCTATGGCCGGGGGATGGGCGGGGGTTAGGTCGCGGGGGGTGCATTTGGGGGGGTATTTCCCACCCCCACCCGGCGCCGTGGGGGGGTCACGGGTCACGCGGGGGGGGGGAGGGAAGAGGTCGGAGAAAACCGGGCGCTGCCCCTTTAAACGTTGCCATGACGCCGGCTCCCCATGGTAGCCAATGGACTGAAGCCAGCGGCTGCCAGGAGATGACGTCACTTCCTCCGCCTCCCCGCAAAATAGGTTCCTGCCCCTTTAAGTCCTGCCCTCACTCCAGCCCCGCCCCCATCGCCGTCCGGGGGTGACGTCACTTCCGGCGAGGCCCTGTTGGGGGCGGGCCAAAGGTCCAGCTTCCGGGGGGCTTCGGCCCCAGCCAATGCGAGGAAACGGCGAGAAACGGGACCAACCCGGGGCGAGGGGCGGGGAGGGAAACGGCCCGTGGGTGACGTCACATCCGGGCCGGAAGGAGGGCGGGCTGACCCGGAAGCGGTTGTTGCGCGAGGCCCCTGCGAGCTCCGGAGACGGGTGAGCGGCGCAGCCGGCGGGGCGCTGATTTGCATATGCAAATGCGGGGGCTGTGGGGTCCCCGGGTGGGGGGGTGCCTGTCAGGCCCCGGGGGGGGTGATTGGCGTATGCAAATGAGAGGGTGGGGCTGGGAGGGCGCAGTCCCCCCCGTTCCTATGGGGCCGCCCTCTTGCGGGGCTCCCCCCCCGTCGGGGGAGAAGAGGTTATTTGCATATGCAAATTAAGGCGTTCCAGGTGTCCCCTGATTGGGTTGTTGGGGGGGGGGGCTGAAATCGGGGAGAGTCATTTGCATATGCAAATTAGGAAGCTGGGATGGGGGCTGCCCCTTAGATCTCCCCCCGGGGGGCATGGGGCTGTTCTGTGGGGCCCCCCCCGTGTCCCTCTGGGGGGCCGAGCAGCGAACTGCCCCATGCGCCGTGGGGCTCCCCGTCAGGGACAGGCAGGCTGGGAAAGGGGGGGGCATCTGGAGGGGAGCTCATTTGCATATGCAAATATGTATTAGCGCTAGGCCAGAGTTTACTAGCCTGGACCCCCAGACGGGTGCAGGTCGAAATCGCTCCTTGCCGGTACTGCTGGCGTGGGAGGGACACGTGGCCTCCCCCCGGGACCCTCCATGGGCCCCCCCGTCCCCTCCGACACCCCCGTTACCCGTCTAAAATTTTACAGCTGCACCTGTTAAACAGGGGCTTTGGGCCCCTGGTGCCCTCGAGGATCCAGAAGGCCCGGAAGGACGATCGCCCCAGTTCCCCTTAACACGCGACCTGCGCCCCCCTTCTGGCCCAACTAAGCTTCTGCCGGCTTGCCTCTATCGAAGTCGCCAGGCACGAGGGAAGCAAAGACGCGGAGCCGTCTGGGTTCGACGGGGAAGGGGCGCAGAACTGTGTGCGCCATGGACACCTTGGCAGAACTCCAGCCCAGATTGTTTTATTATTTTCCTCAGCACGACCTACAGGAGGGGCGACCAAAATCCGCCTGGCAGAACGCGCCTGAGAACTGTCTCTGGGCGGAGAAGCAGTTGATCGAAATCACATTCTCTGATCTCTTGGGGCCAAATCCTGTTCCCACTGAGATCAAAAGGAGTTTTGCTGTTGAGTTCAATGGGAACAAGCTTTCACATTTGGAGAGCAAAGAATAAAATCACTCAAGCAAGGGCTATGTTGCTTATACCACCGGTATCAAAGGCTGCTGACCCATGTGAGAAAGTCAGCGGAGATCTGATCTTTCTTCATTGCAAGGGAGAAATCAGCCATCAATGAGGCTAGAGCAGTCTCTGTACCACATCCAACTCATAAGTCCATCTGCAAAGGATCAAGGAAATATGAAGGCTCCAGAGTACCTTAAAGTCCTCAGTCCCTTGGTTAGGATGCTCCCATTAGTAGATGTTCATAGTCCAGAGGCTGGAGCTGGAAAGAGGCAAAATGGAGATGTTTCCAGGCCAGGGCGTTTTAGCTTCTGCCAAGTGCCCAGTAAAGGGTTAGGGTTAGGGTTCTTGCTGTGAAAGATGGTGTTTGGAGTCACGTAGGCAAGTCACACGTCCATCACCCCCACCCATCTTCTAGTTAGACCGTTCACAACAAGTCCATTGAGTGTCGACAGGCGTTTTCCAGGGTCCATCGTGAGCGAAGAGTTCCTTATTGGGCCATTCAGCTGGACTTGTCCCTTCATGTGCTGGCTAAATACCTTGTGGGCGTTACCACAGGAGCAAACATGTAGTGAACAGAGCGAGTATTCATACCTTCAGATACCAAGGTGAATATATGCCATTTCTGTGCATGTAATCATAAGTACCAGCTGTTTCACCGACCTGACTGTTCCCAAAAGAGATTCTGAACAGTCACACCACGTACCTGAGACCCTCTGTGCCAGCCCCTCGCCCCACTGGAGTTTCGCTGTCTGTTATGTAACAACAGAGATGCAGCCAGCGACATGACTCTGTTTAGCTTAAAAGGGCAAGGTTAATTTTGAGCTGTTTGGGTGTGACCGAGCCTTTAGTCCGGGAGGGCACACTGGCTGGCCCACATTCAGGGTAACGGGCTTCGGTAGTCCCAAGTCTTTCCGGTACCCCGTACCCACTAAAAAGCTCTTGTCGGTACTGCGTACCGGAGCTTACCCCCCTACTTGCACTCCTGCCCACAGATAAGGGGCTTATCGGTGACCAGCTGGGGTGGGCGTGGCTGGGACAGCAGCCCCGGGTCATGTGGGGCCTGTTATCGTTTGGTCTCCTCTGCCAGGGCCTGGTGGGTTGGCGCAGGGTCTCTTGTGAGTTGTCGGTTTGTTACGGCAGGGTCCTGTTTAGCCAGCTCCCGCTATCGTTTGTTGTGAGTGGCGGTTTGTTATTGTAGGGTCTTTCGTTTGTTACCTTAGCACTCCGTGGGCCTCGGTTTGTTATTGTAGGGTACCGCTTTGGGATCGTCCCTTTATCGTAGGGTCTCTTCAGCGCTCCTCCCTGTCGGGCTGCGGGCGGGGCAGTGAGGCCCGTCTGGGGGCTTGGCACTGGGGGACTTCCACCTTTCTCACCCAGCTCTCCCCCACGCAGGACCGTCCGGGGCCACCATGCCCAAGCGCAAGGTGACATTCGAGGATCAGGCCGAGGGGGATGAGGAGGAGGAGGAGCTGGCCATGCCCAAGAAGAAGGTGAGTTACGGGGATGGGGTGTGGGGGGGACCCCTGGAGGGGGGGAGGGATCTCTGTGGGGTGGGGAGGCATGGGGGGGGAAGGGTCTCTATGGGGTAGGGGTGTAAAGAGGGTCCTTGTTGTGAGGGGGGTTCCCAGAGGGCACAGAGTCCCTGTTGGGGGGATGGGAGTGCGGAAGCATCCAGTCTCTGTTGGAGGTAAGGGATCACTGGGGGAAAGGGGGGGGGGCCCTGAGAGGGTAGACTGGGGTAGGTGGGAGTTGTGTTTGGGTGCCCCCCTGGGGTGTCTTGGAGTGACTTGTGGGTGGTATCCGGGGGGTGGCTATGTGTTGGGGTGATCTGGGGGGCTGTATCTCAGGGTGACACGGGGATGGTATGGGTTGGGGGGGTCTGGGTGATCCAAAGGGGGTGATATCCAGGGCGGCTGTGTCTTGGGGTGATTTGGGGGCATATATAGGGGGCTGTGTGTCGGGGTGACCCGGGTGGTGGTGCTGGGGGTGGGGGTGCTGTTTCTCAGGGTGGCTGAGGGAACCTAACATCCCTTCCCACCGCAGCTGGCAGAGCCCGGCCTGGGGGCCAGCGGCCCAGGGAGCCGGTTCAAGGGTAAACACTCCCTGGACAGCGACGAGGAAGACGAGGATGAGGAGGGGGACGGCGGCCGGGCCAGTAAATACGACATCCTGGCGTCAGAGGACGTGGAGGGTGAGACCCTGGTCTGGCTGAGGGGGCAGGGATCCGGTGGGCAGGGGGCTTCGGGGGGAAAGGAGGGGAGACTGGGGGGTTGGGGGGTGATCCTGCAGAGCAGAAGGGGGGCTAATCTGGGGCTGGGCAGAGCAGGGAAGTCGAGGAGACTGTGGCGGGCCTGACGGGCAGGGGGTCTCCCCGGGCAGGGCAGGAGTCGGCCACCATCGACTACGAGGACGGGGTGCGGATCACCCCCTTCAACCTGGAGGAGGAGATGGAGGAGGGGCACTTTGACTCGGAGGGGAATTACTTTCTGCGCCGCGAGGCGCTGATCCGGGACAACTGGCTGGACAACATCGACTGGGTGAGACGGGGGGGGGTCCGGGGGAGGGGAAACCGAGGAAGGGGGGGAGGAGCGGAGACGGGGCCGGGCGGGAGTGGGAGGAGAAGGGAGACGGGGTGGCTGGACCAGTACTGATCCCCGCCCACCCCCAGGTGCGGATCAAGGAGCAGCCCCCCGGGAGCCGGCAGCCCCCCGGCGGAGATCAGGAGGAGGATGGGGAGCCCCCGGGGGGGCGCCCCCTGCTGGACAAGCAGACCCTGCTGGAGGGGATGGTGGAGATGGTGCGGCCGGGGGAGACGGTGGCCCGGGCCATCCAGCGCCTGGGCAGCAAGGGCGGGGCCCGGGGCTCGCGCCCCCGCCGGGCCTGGACCCGGGCCAAGGCCGAGGCTCCCGCCCCCCCCGGAGGAGGGGGAGGCGCCGGGCTCACCCCAGAGGCGGGAGCAGCTGGAGCGGCTCTCGGGATTGGCTGACCAGATGGTGGGGCGGGGCGTCTACGAGATCTACCAGGAGACCCGCGAGAAGCTGGCGCTCCGGCTGCGGGCGCTGACCCAGCCCCCGCCTGCCCAGCCCCCCCCGGCCCTCGACATGTTTGCCGAGGACATCGACGAGGCCAGGCTGAGAACCCAGGCGTCCGGTGAGACATTGGGGGGCTGCGGGTCTGGAGTGAGGGGCACCGGTGGGGCAGGGCTGGGCTAGTGGGGGGCTGTGAGTTGGGAGTGAGGGGCACTGGCAGGGCTGTGGGGGCAGGGCTGGGCTAGCAGAGGGCTGCGGGTCGGGAGTGAGGGGCTCTGGCGGGGCAGAGTTGGGGTAGCAGGGGCCGTGGGTCGGGAGTGAGGACGCTCTGACCCCCGGGTGTTGTCCAGCAGGGGGCGCTGAGGCAGGGCTGCAGTCCGAGGACGGGGAGGAGCCCCTGGCCGAGGTGATGTGGGAGTACAAATGGGAGAACACGAATGGGGCCGAGCTCTATGGGCCCTTCAGCAGCACCCAGATGCAGGTGAGACCCCAGTCCAGAGCCAGGGGTCCCCGTGTGCCCAGCTCCCTCCGCCCCCGAGGGGCCACGTCCCAGCGCCGGCCGCGGGGTCCCAGTTTACCCCGCCCCCGAGGGGCCGCATCCCAGCACCAGGCGAGGGGTCAATGGGTGCCCAGTCCCGGCCCCACAGGGGCCACGTCCCAGCGCCGGGCGAGGGGTCCCCGTGTGCCCAGCCCCCTCCCGCTCCAGAGGGGCTATGCCCAAGCCCTGGGCAAGGGGTTCCTGTGTACCCAGCCCCCACCTCCCCCCGCCCTGAGGGGCCGCGTCCCGGTGCCGAGCCCCGTGTAACCAGCTGCGTCTCTCCCCCGCAGGAGTGGGTGAACCAGGGCTATTTCAAGGAGGGCGTTTACTGCCGCAAGGCTGACAATTCGCAAGGCCAATTCTACAACTCGAAGCGGGTGGATTTTGACCTGTACACGTGATCCGCGACCAGCCTGCGACCCCTCGAGCCGAGGGGGCTGGACTCGAGTCTGGGGGAGCCAGGGAGGGAGGCCGGGGTGCATACGGGTTGGGGGAGGGTTAACCCCTAGCTTGTGGGGCGTGGATGTCACGTTGTCTTTATTTTTGGGGGGGATTAAAATATGTCTATGTCTTGTACTGTGCTGGTGCCATCCGCTGCTGGCTGGTGTCTGAGTCGGCGGGCCTGGACAGCCCCTGGCAAATGGGGATTCTCCTGCCAGCCCCCGGGGTCAGGCCCATGGTGTCCTGGATACATACATAGAGCCCGTGGGCTGGGTTGTTATGGTAGGGTCTCTCGGGAGAGACAGGGCTGTTTGGGTCCGTTTGTTTTTGTAGGGTCTCCTGGCAGGGCTGATTTGTTACTGTTAGGTCTTAAGACCGCTATGAGTTGCGTGTGTCGCTTTGTTTTTGTAGGGTCTCTTAGGAGAAGCAGCGCTGCTTGGCTCAGTTTGTTTTTGTAGGGTCTCCTGGGAGAGGCAGGGCTCCGTGTGTTGCTTGGTTTTGGTAGGGTCTCTTGCGTTGGCTGGCTTGTTACTGGAGGGTCTCATGAGAGCTAGGGCTTTTGTGTGTGTTTTGTTTTGTCATTGTAGGGTCCCTTGTGAGTACTGTTTTGTTTTTGTAGGGTCTCTCATGAGCGCTTGAATACTAGGGCCTCTCTTTGTGTCATTTTGTTCTGGTAGGGTCTTACAAATGCTAGGACTGTGTGCTTCACAGAATCAGAGAAGATCAGGGTTGGAAGGGACCTCAGGTCGTCATCTAGTCCAGTCCCCTGCTCAAAGCAGGACCAACCCCCAACTAAATCATCCCAGCCAGGGCTTTGTCAAGCTTTAATATTGGGGCAATAGCAAATGTGGCTTTGTTTCTGTAGGGTCTTATAAGTGGCAGGGTTGTGTGTTTTGGCTGTTGTTGGCGGGCTCTGACAAATGCTGCTTTGTTATGATAGCGTCTCTCACAAGAATAAAGCCGTGGTTGGTGCCTTTGTTGTCATATGGCTCTTCTGTGTTATTGTCCGGTCTCTAGTCTGCTGTTGCCATATCCGGGGCTGCGTGTGCCAGCTAATTACTGCTGGGTTCCCTGTGGGTGCGGGTTTGTTATCGTGGAATCTGGAGCCGTGTGCTGGTTTGTTGTTGTAGGGGCTTCTGTGTTGTTACAGGGTCACCTTGGCTGTTGTTGCAAGATCTGGGACTGTGTGCATGTCCGTCTATTATTGTGGGTTCAAAACCGTTCCCAGAGAGTCGTTATCAGTGGTTCACAGTCATGCTGGAAGGGAAATCGAATGGGGTCCCGCAGGGATCGGTTCTGGGTCCGGTTCTGGTCACGATCTTCATCAGTGATTTCGATAACAGCACAGAGAGCGCACTGATAAAGTTTGCGAACGATATCAAGCTGGGGGGTTGCAAGTGCTTTGGAGGGTAGGATGAAAATTCAAAACGCTCTGGACAAACAGGAAAAATGGTCGGAGGTAAATAGGATGAAATTCAATAAGGACAAATGCAAAGTCCCCCACTTAGGTGGGAACAATCTTGCACACACACACAATGGGCAAGGACGGCCTAGGAAGGAGAGCTGCGGACAGGGATCTGGGGGTCAGAGTGGATCACAAGCTAAATATGAGTCACCAGGGTAACGCTGTTGCAAAAAAAGGCAACATCCTTCTGGGATGTGTTGTAAGCAGGACACCAGAAGTAATTCTTCCTCTTTACTCCGCTCTGATACGGGATCAGGTGGAGTATCGGGTACAGTTCTGGGCACCACGCTTCAGGAAGGATGTGGACAAATTGGAGAAAGCCCAGAGAAGAGCAGCAGAAATGATTCAAGGTCTAGAAACCATGAGCTGGGAGGGAAGATTGAAAACACAGGGTTTGTTTAGTCTGGAGAAGAGAAGACGGAGAGGGGACGTGAGAACAGGTTTCCAGTAGGTAAAAGGTTGTTCCAAGGAGGCGGGAGAAGAATTGTTCTCGTTACCTCTCAGGATAGGACAAGAAGCCATGGGCTTAAATTGCCGCAAGGGCGGTTTAGGTTGGACATTCGGACAAACTTCCTGTCGGGGGGGTGAAGCCCTTTAATCAATTGCCCAGGGAGGTTGTGGAATCTCCACCGCTGGGGATTTTTAAGAGCAGGTTGGACAAACCCCTGTCAGGGACGGTCTAGAGCAGCGTTTCTCAAACTGGGGTCTGCGGACCCCACTCAACTCCTCCCCCTCCGTCCCTCACTTAGGAGCCACTGCCAGAGGGATGTGCATCCAAACCCCCTCCCGCGCCCCAAACCCCTTCCCAGAGCCTGCACCCCCCCCTGCACCCAAACTTCCTGCCCCAGTCTGGTGAAAGTGACTGAGGGAGAGGGAGAGCGAGCGATGGAGGGAGGGGGGATGGAGACCAGAACTTACCACTGTGGCTAAACGACAGAGGAAAAGAGAAGTTAGAGGCAAACCGGAGTCCTTTGGAAAGTGGAAGTGAAATCTCACGGAGGAGTATAGAAAGGAACCTGGACTCTGGTGAGTCAAGTGTAAACGGAAAACTAGGCAGGACCACAAGAGAATTTGAAGAGCAACTAGCCGAAGATATGCAAACTAACAGCAACGTTTGTTAAGTCCATCAGAAGAATCAGAAGCAGGAAGCCTGCCAAACGACCAGAGGGGCCACTGGACGGTCGAGGTGCTAAGGGAGCACTCAAGGATGATAAGGCCATTGTGGAGAAACTAAATGAATTCTTTGCATCGCTCTTCACGGCTCAGGATGTGAGGGAGATTCCCAAACCTGAGTCATTCTTAGATGACAGATCTGAGGAACGGTCCCCGATGGAGGTGTCACGAGGGGAGGTTTTTGAAGAAATTGATAAACTAAACAGTAAGAAGTCCCCGGGCCCAGCTGGTATCACCCAAGAGGGAAACCGCAGCACTGTGGTATGTAACCTGTTGTTTAAATCCGCTTCTGTCCCAGATGACTGGAGGACAGCTAGTGTGACACCAGGTTTTAAAATGGCTCCAGAAGTGATCCTCAAGGGTGGCCAGACTGGGTCAGGCCAAAGGGCCATCCAGCCCGGTGTCCTGTCTGCCGAGAGGGGCCAGATCTGCCTGCAGGATTCAAGCTGCGGGTGGACCAGGGATTTGTACAGAGGCAGTATATTTTCTCTCTTATTATCTCTCCCTTTCCTAATGGTTCCCGAAGTTGGCTTCGCTTTGCGACGGCCGCTGCACAGTGCGGGGATGTTTTCAGAGAACGACCCACAGTGACTCCCCGAGGAGACCCGTGGCAGAGACGGGTGCAGAAGGCCGCCGGGCGTGGTTCCAGGAGGCGGCGGGGCCAGAGGGCGACCCCGGCAAGAGAGTGCCAGTTTCATGGAGGGCTGGCAGGCGGAAGGGGGTTCCCCCCAGGGAGCGTACTGAGCCGGGAGAGAGCTCGGGGCCTGTGAGTCCGTGGCAACGTGGTAGCAGAGGGGACAGCGGGCGGATGCACCCTGTAGACGGGTGGCTGCCAGCGGTAAAGCAAGGAGATTGAAGGGACCAGCGAGGAAGTGGGCTCTAATCAGTTCCCTAAAAGGGGCCTTGCAGCTGGTGCCGGGAGAGAGGGCTGAGCGTTGGGGGGCTCACTCGGGGGAGCGGATTGCCCGGCTGGCAGAGAATGACCAGGCCGAGGAACAAGAGCCAGATCAACAGCAGGGCTCCCGGGATGCCCGGAGAGCCTGGGCGTAGCAGGGGGTCCACCAGACCCGGTTCCCCAGCAAGGGGGGACTTCCCAAGCTGGGTTCTCTCCGGTGGATGTGAAGAGATGGGAACGGGAGTCGCAGGAGAGGCAGGCCAAGAGGATTGGCTGTAGGGAAAGTGGGGAAAGGCCCCAAATACCCATTCCACAGGGACCCTGGATTCCCAAGTGGGCCCGGCGCAGTGGGGTACAGCCCCGGGCGTTACCCAAGGAGCTCACCAGCCCGCTGGGAGAATCTCTCCGCACGGGGGGAAAGGACGCGGGGCCACCTCTGCAGGGGATGGGTGTAATCGGGGGGTGGGCAGGAGTCACCCAGAGACCCCAAAGACGCAGGGAATCTGCGTCCAGGAGACCCCTCGAAAGGTTCCTGTGGCAAAGGGAGGACGGCCGGGAGCCGGGCTCAGCGGAGGGCACGTACGCTGGGGACGTGAACCGTCTCTCTTTCAAACTGGATCCGGACCCTGTGGCAGTAACCGCCAAAGAGCGAAACCGAGAGATCCCGGATCTCGCTCCTCCAGACGGGGGGCCAGGAGAGGGCTCAGCCCCCAGGGGGAGCCCGGTGCGGGGAGCTGGGAGGGAGGTCTGGGGGCCCTGGGACACGGGTGCTGAGGAGATGCAGGCACGGCCGAGGTGGGCCTGGGAGAGGCAGTGCCCAGTGCAAACCTCACCCTGAGGGGGGTGGTCAGACCCACCCCCGGATTAAGGTGCATCTAAATAGGGGCCTGAGGGGGGCCCCAAAGAGGTTGGGGGGCCCAATCAGTTGCCAGCAGAGGTGCTGATGGGAGACGGGTCGGAGAACTGGCCAGACGGTGCCCGCTTGGCCTGACCACTTCCAACCGGGGGAGAGAGTTCCCAGGGGCGGGGCTTAACCGGGCTGAGACCCAGACTTTGTCACGAGGTGGGGAAACTGAGGCACGGCCAACGAGGGCCGGTCCCCGACCCCAGCCGCTGAATTCCAGACCCAGCCACAGAAGGATCCCTCCTGGAAGAAGCCGGGGCAAGACCCTGGGGAAGGATCGCGGGGAAGGAGCCCGGTGAGAGAAGCGACCGGGCGCCCTGCAGGAAAACAGCCTTGCGGGATCAGAGGGCGGCTGGGGGCGATGCCCCTCTCTCTAAACATCGCGGGGTCCAGCACACCCGGCGAGGGGCTGCAGAGCGTTTACTGCCCCGGAAATTCACGGGGCACCGGAAGAGGGGTCTCGGCTCGGGGCAAAGGGCCCCCCAGGATGGGCCCTGTGAAGTCAGCAACCGGCGGAAGGAGGTGAGTGGTGCTGGGCCGCGAGGTCAGCACCATGTGGACGTGGTGGAGCTGGGGAGACGTTGGGGCGGCCGTGGGTGTGGGCAGGAGAAGGGGAAAGTGAGTCCGGTGAGACAGGAGCCGGCTCTCTGCCCCGCTAAGCCCTGCCCGCCGGCAGGCATCAGAGGGGCTGCGTCGCACCCGCAGCCGGGCGCCAGCCGGCCTGGGCCCTGCCCGTAGGGGAAGGGGGGTTTCCCCTGTTCACAGTCCCCGGGGAACGGCCCAGGGCCCGGAGAGAGCTGAGAGTCATGCTGGTGGGGCTGGCCGAGGTGTCGGACCTGGGCCCCAAGGTGGGGAGTGGCTGCCTGAAGCCAGAGCCGGCCAAGGTGCAGGGGATCAGAGACTGGCCCGTTCCCCAAACCAGGAAGCGGGCCCAGGCCTCAAAGGGGCCTGGAGGTTCGTGCCCCACTTTAGCTCCCAAGGCAGGGGAGCCGGACAAGGGGGTCTGGACCGAGCCGTGCAAGGGGGACACTGGAGGAGGCTGTAACCATGGGGCCGGTCCTGGTAAACCCAGACTTGGACACACCCTTTATGGCGTTCAGCGGACAGCTCAGACGCAGGGCAGGGCTTTACGGGATGAAAGGGGCCAATGCCGAGCCCGAGGGGGGCGTCTGATCCCCCAGGATGATGACGTGGGGGTGTCCAGGTGAAGGGGAGCGCGGACGTTACAGCTGATGCGTTGTCCCGGAGAGGGGGGCCTGATCTTCCCCAGGTCACTGGCTGGACTGACCCCGCTCAGCTCCGTCACGAAGCAGGGAGAGATGTGATGAGGTGGTGGTGGTGGGGGGGTTTCTTAGCGTCTTGCCTGGGTGCGGGGTGTGCCTCAGTTTCCCGGTGTGTAGCGAGGTGGTGGGAGGTTTGTTGTTACAGAGGAGGAGGTGTTGACCTTGACCAGCAGTTGGGACCCTGGACAACGAGCAGGAGGTGGGGGACCCTGGTGACTGCGTGGCCCCCCCCAGCGTGGGGGTCAGCCGGTTCGGGCCAGTGGGAGGACAAAGGGCTGAGAAGAGGGGACTCCGGTGACCTGACCTGCTGGGTCCAGCCAGAGGGGACCAAAGGCCAGAGGAGGGAGGGCCCCAGCGACCTGTTTACCTGGGATGGGAGACAGGACAGGGGAGGAGCTGTTGGGGGGGATGATACTGGGTGACCGGCTGGGGAGGGAGCAGCTGGAGCCCCCCCGGGACGCGGGAGAGACCGACGTATACGGTGCTGAGGGATGCCACGGCAGAGCCAGGTGGGCAGGGAAAGCTCAGAGGTGCGGTCCCAGGCGGCGGCAGGGCCTTACCCCAGCGTGAGAAAGTGACCTTCACGGAGGGCTGTCACGCCAAAGGGGGGTCTCTCCCAGGGGCTTCATGGAGCCGAGGGGCATGAGCCCTGTCAGTCCAGGACTCCTCATCACACAAGAACTAGGGGGTCACCCAATGAAATGAATAGGCAGCAGGTTTAAAACAAACACAAGGAAGTATTTCTTCACCCAACGCACAGTCAACCTGTGGAACTCCTCGCCGGAGGACATTGTGAAGGCCAAGACTGCAACAGGGTTCCAATAAGAACTAGATAAATTCATGGAGGACGGGGCCACCAATGGCTATTAGCCAGGATGGGCAGGGAGGGTGTCCCTAGCCTCTGTTTGCCAGGAGCTGGTTCTGGGCGACGGGATGGATCACTTGATAATTTTCTGGTCTGTTCATTCCCTGTGGGGCACCTGGCCCTGGCCACTGTCAGCAGACGGGACACTGGGCGAGAGGGACCCTTGGTCTGACCTAGTTCTTATGTTCTGGCTCCCAGCCCCCCCTCCCCCTGTTCTAACCACTAGACCTCACTCCCCACCCAGAGCTGGGGAGAGAACCCAGGAGTCCTGGCTCCCACCCACACCCCCCCTCACTCTAACCCACTCCAGCAGAATGTTGTGGAGTTGCGAACTTCCTCCCAACAGTGCCCTATGAGTGTGTGTGTGTGGTGGGGGGGTGACTCAGAGAGAGGGGAAGGGCTCAGGAGGTGGGGGGGGCTGCAGGGGGGACATGAAGGGTTAACCGTGGAGCCCGGGTGGGACTGGGGGGAAGTGACTCCAGCCAAGGGCTGGGAGCTGAGGCCAGACCACATCCGCCCCTGCAGCCGGGAGATAAAGAATCGACATGCCAGCCCCATAGTGACACCAGGGCCCCCCCCCGGCCCACAGCGCCCCCTGCTGAACCCCCTGCCCTGCCCCATGGCACGCCCTGCCCCACAGCACCCCCTGCTGAACCCCCTGCCCTGCCCCATGGCACGCCCTGCCCCACAGCACCCCCTGCTGAACCCCCTGCCCTGCCCCATGGCACGCCCTGCCCCGCAGCGCCACCCTTGAGCCCCCGCCCTGCCCCATGGCACGCCCTGCCCCACAGCACCCCCTGCTGAACCCCCTGCCCTGCCCCATGGCACGCCCTGCCCCACAGCACCCCCTGCTGAACCCCCTGCCCTGCCCCATGGCACGCCCTGCCCCGCAGCGCCACCCTTGAGCCCCCGCCCTGCTCCCTGCCCCACGGCGGCCCCGCTGCGCCCCCTGGAGGCAGCATCTGCACTGACAGCTCGGCCTGTCCCCTGGGCTACCCCAGTGAGCCATGGCCCCGTGCCGGTGAGGGGCGGTGATGCGGCGGGGGAAGGAAATGAGTCTACAAGACATGACCCACCCCGGACACGGGACCGAGAAGTGATGGCGCCGGACCCCGAACTGCGACCGCTGCTCCTGGCTCTGCTCACGCTAAACCTCCTGCGAGGTGCTCAGGGCTGGGGGGCAGGGGCTGTGGGTCGGGAGTGGGGGGCACCGGCAGGGCTGGGGGGGCAGGGGGCTGCGGGTCAGGAGTGAGGGGCACCGGCAGAGCTGGGGGGGGCCCAGGGCTGGGCTGGCAGGGGGCTGCGGGTCAGGAGTGAGGGGCACCGGCAGAGCTGGGGGGGCCCAGGGCTGGGCTGGCATGGGGCTGCGGGTTGGGAGTGGGGGGCACCGGCAGGACTGGGGGGGCAGGGGGCTGCGGGTTGGGAGTGGGGGGCACCGGCAGGGCTGGGGGGGCAGGGGGCTGCGGGTCGGGAGTGGGGGGCACCGGCAGAGCTGGGGGGGTAGGGGGCTGCGGGTCGGGAGTGGGGGGCACCGGCAGGGCTGGGCGGGGGACAGGCCCCTGAGCGATTGCTCTCACCCCTGGTCCCTGTTTCCTGTTTTTGTTCCCGCTTCTCATTGTGACCCTCGAGGGCTTTTTTCCTGGTGTTTTTTTGGCTTTCTGTGTAAATCCCGCCCCCAGGGACTCCACGTGCTCCCATTTCCCTTCCCCCCCCCACACCGGGGGTGCTGGGCCCCCCTTCTTATTTCTTTTCTGCCCGGGGGGTCAGGCGGGTGGGCCGCAGCCTGGCGGTGTGGTGGGGGGGTTGTGAGCTCTGGGGTAGGAAGCCAGGGGACCCCCCCCCACAGCTCCATCCATCTGTGCCTCCCCCCACATCTCTCCCCTCTGCCTGTCCACCCCCCGACAGCTGCCTGCCTGTCTGGTCTCCCCCCCCGCTCCGCCCCCTGCAGTGCCCTAGCGCTGCGAGCTTCCCCCAGCAGTGCCCTGCCATTCTGCCCCCCCCAGGGCCGGCCCCCTCCCAGGCCTTCAGCATCGAGACCCAGAACCCCACCATCTTCGAGGGCGACGCTGACGCACAGTTCGGCTACCGGGTCGTCCAGATGCGTTCGAACGGCAGCTCCTGGTGAGAGCCCCCGGCTCTGGGAGGGGAGTGGGGTCTAGTGGTTGGGTGGGGGGCTGGGAGCCAGGACTCCTGGGTTCTCTCCCCAGCTCTGAGAGGGGAGTGGGGTCTAGTGGTTGGGGGGGGGGGGCTGGGAGCCAGGACTCCTGGGTTGTCTCCCCAGCTCTGAGAGGGGAGTGGGATCAAAGTACCCCCCCATCCTGTCTGTACCCATCTCTCCCCAGGCTGGTGGTGAGCGCCCCCCTGGCAGGGAATGGGACGGGGGCCCTGTATCGCTGCTCCTATCATGGGGGGGCCTGTGAGCCCATCCCCCTCCCCGGTAAGTGACGGGTGCATGGTGGGGTCACTGCCCCCCAATATATCTCATGAGTGGTGGGGGAGGGACAGGGGGTTATGTGGGATATTGGGGATGCCTGGGGGGGGAATCTCTCACGCTCTCTCTGTCCCCCCCCAGACATCCCCCCCGGTCTCCCTGGGGCTGGCGCTCGCCTCCGACGAGATCTCCAGGTCCCAGATCGTTGTGAGTCACCCCGGGACCCCGATATAGGGCAGGGTGGTCCTGGGGGTGGGGGCGGGGTTAAGGAGGGGAGGGGCTGTGGGGTGGAAGAGAAGAGGCAGGCAACTGGGGGTGGTGGATCCACCATGAGGGGCAAAGAGAGATGGGGGTGGGGCTGTGGAGGGAGGGGCCAAGGGAGGTGGGGGAGGGGTGCAGGTGGGTTCAGGAGATGGGGTGTTGTAGGGGTGTGGGGGGAGGGAGTTGTGGGGGGAGGGGTGCAGGAGTGGGGTCCCCCCGGGTGACCCCCCTTTCCCTCCCCCAGGCCTGCGGCCCCCGGCTCCAGCAGCGCTGCGAGGAGAACGTGTATCTGCAGGGGCTCTGCTACGTGTGGGGGGGCTGGGAGCGCCCCCCCCGGGCCCTGCACCCGGCCGGCCAAGGTGGGGGGCGGGGCTGGGGGGGGGCAGCTGGTGGGGCTGGGGGGCTGAGCTGGGTGAGTTGGAGGGGCGGATCTATTGCCGGGGCTGAGCTGGGGTGGGGGGTGGCTCCAGCCATTGCGTTCGGGGGGCTGAGTTGGGGAACTGGGGGGGTGGGGGGGGGCTGATCTGTTGTGGGGGGGGGGTTGATGTTGGCCGGCGGGGCGGGTCTGCGGGAGGGTGATGCTGGCCTGGGGGGGGCTGATCTCTCTTCCCTCCCCACCCCCCCCAGAGTGCATTTCGGGGGTGGACGTGGCTATTTTATATGACGACTCGCAGAGCATCCAGCCCGACGACTTCAGGCTCATGAAACAATTCATCCGGGAGCTGCTGCGGGCCCTGGCGGGGCCCCGCATCCAGGTGGGGGCCCGCCCGTCCGTCCACCCGCGTCCGGCCGGCCGGCCCGGCACCCCCCGCTGGAGGGGCCGAGCCCTGCCGTGTGTCCGTCCGTCTGTGGACATGTTAGGGGCCGGGCAGCCGGGGACAATCGGCTCTTTTAAATAATCTCCCCCCTTGCTGCCCCCCCTGCCCCCCCCCCCCAGATCGCCGTGGTCCAGTTCTCCTCCGAGATCCACCACGTTTTCACCTTTGCCGACTACGCCGCCAAGGGCCCGATGGCCGTGGAGCAGGACCTGGAGGCCTTCTCCCATCTGAAGGGCAACACCCGCACCCCCTCGGCCATCCTCTTCGTGGTGTGAGTACCCCACCGGGGGCGGGAGGGGCGCAGCTGGGCTTCTCCCCCCCCCCCGACGCTGACCCTGCCCGCTCTCCCCGCAGAGGCCAGACCTTCGCCCCCGAGAACGGCGCCCGGCCCCACGCCAAGAAGCTGCTGGTCGTCCTGACCGACGGGGAGTCCACCGACGACGGCGCCCTCTTCCCCAAGGCCATCCGGGCGGCCGACAGCAAGGGGCTGGTCCGCTACGCCATCGGGGTAGGGCGGGGACAGGGGAGCCGGCCAGGGGGCTGGAGAGTCCCCGCCGTGCGCGGGGCTTCGAAAAACTCCCGGGGTTCCTCCAGCCTTCTGGGTTCTGGGGGCTCCTGGAAGGTTCGGGGTTCCCAGCGCTCCTGGGGAGACCTTAAAGGTTTTGGGGTTTTAAGCGGTTCTGGAGGGTCCTTTACGGTTTGGGGAACCGAGAGGTTCTTTAAAGGTTCTCGGGTCTGAGAGGTTCTGGGAGGATTTTAGGAGGTTCCCAAGCGGGTCTGGAGGTTCCTGGGAGGCTCTCGGAGGCTCCCGAGAGGTGCTGGATGGTTTTTAGGAGGTTCCTGAGAGGTTCAGTGAGGTTCTGATTGGTTCCCAAGAGGTTCTGCGAGGTTTATGGAGGTTCTGATCGGTTACTGAGAGGTTCTGGAGGTTCATGAGAGGTTCTGGGAGGCTCCTGAGAGGTTCTGGATGGTTTTTAGGAGGTTCCTGAGAGGTTCTGGGAGGCTCCTGAGAGGTTCTGGATGGTTTTCAGGAGGTTCCTGGGAGGTTCTGGATGGTTTTTGGGAAGTTCTAGAGGTTCCATGCAGTTCTGATTGGTTCCCGAGAAGTTCTGGAGTTTCCTGAGAGGTTCCATGAGGTTCTGGGAGGCTCCTGAGAGGTTCTAGAGGTTCTGTGAGGTTCTGATTGGTTCCCAAGAGGTTCTGGAGGTCTCTGATTGGTTCTGGGAGGTTCTTGAGAGGTTCTGGAGGATGCTAATGAGCTATGGGAATTCGCTGAAGGGTTTGGGTCCTCTGATGTTCTGGAGGGCACTTAATGTGCCTGTTGTCTGTGGATATTTTGAAAGTTCTGGCTTCCCAAAGGTTCTGGAGGCTCTTTGACGGTTTTGGGTTCCAGAAGGATCTGGCATGTGCTAAGTGGCGCTGCAGGTTCCCTAAAGGTTCTGGAGGGTGCTAAGATGTCCTGGAGAATGAGTCGGTGTTTTTAGGTTGCGAGCGGTTCCTCAAAAGTTTTTGGGTTCCTGCAGGATCGAGGGGTTCCTTAAAGGTTCTGGACCAGAAATGAGGAGCTCGGGAGATTCCCAAAGAGACCCGGGAGGGATGTATGGGATTCTGGATTGGGGTTTGGATAGGCCGAGGCAGGGCTTGGGGTGGGGGTGGGGGGCTGGAAGGGTTCTGGAGGGTTCTGATGGATGGGGAGGTGCAGGGAGGCGGTGTAGATGGATCTGGAAGGGTTTGTTGGTATCTGAGGGGTTCTGGGGATTTGTGGGAGGTTCTGGGTGTTGGTGATGGGTCTGTGGGGTTCTGTGGGTCCTAGGAGGTTCCAGTTGGTTCTGGAGTATGGTGGGGAGCTCTGGAGAATGCTAGGGGCTGTCTGCATGTCTGTGAGGCGTCCCCGGGGGTTCTAGTTGGTTCTAGAGCATGGTGGGGGGTTCTGGAGGACCATGGGGGGTTCTGTGTTCGTGTGAAGGGCCTGTGGGTTTCCAGGGGGTCTGGAGCCCATTCCTGGAGGTCTCTCTCCTCCCTGCCCCCCGGTTCCAGGTGGGCGAGGCGTTCTCCAAGGCCGAGGCACGCCAGGAGCTGCACACCATCGCCTCGCGGGCTGAGAACGTCTTCCAGGTCGGGAGCTTCTCCGCCCTCAGCACCATCCAGGAGCAGCTTCGCGAGAAGATCTTCGCTATCGAAGGTGCGGGGCCCACAGATCCTCCTCCAGCCCGGACGCCTGGGTCCCTTTCCCTGTCCCAGTGTCTGGGAGTGCTGGGGTGGGGAGCACCACTACCCGGACGCCTGGGTCCCATTCCACGTCCCGCTGTCTGGGAGTGCTGGGTTGGGAAGCACCCCTACCCGGATGCCTGGGTCCTGTTCCCCACCCTGGCCTCTGGGAGTGCTGGGGTGGAGAGCACTCCTACCCGGACGCTTGGGTCCCATTCCCCGCCCGGGTCTCACCGCCTTTTTTCCTCCCCCCAGGGACGGCCCAGGTTTCCAACGCCAGCTCGTTCCATCTGGAGCTGTCGCAAGGTGGATTCAGCGCCCTGCTCACCCCGGTGGGTAGAAACCCTCCCCCCCCCCGTGCACCCTTGGGGGGGGCCAGCCCGGTCCATGGGCTCGAGCTCCAGCTGGGGGGGGCAGGGGCAGAGAGCCCCCCAGGGCTGTAGTCGGACCAGGTGTAATACACGGTCCCACCACAAAGTGGAGCCAGCCACCCTGCTATGAACATGCCAATTATTGCTGGGCTCGTTACCATTAATCACAGGTTTCAGAGTAACAGCCGTGTTACTAACCAGTTGGTTAGTCTCTAAGGTGCCACAAGTCCTCCTTTTCTTTCTACCATTAATCATTCCTCTGCTAACCTTCCTATTTCTAACCATATTAATTGGCTATAATGATTCCTAATTCAGAATGTACTTTAATAAAGCACCATCCATGTGATAATTGTCCTAACTGATGGCAACATTTCATACCGTCATTGACCGTCCTCGCTCACTGGGAAGGGGAACGCAGGGATGGGGAGATTCGTGTCCCGATGCCAGGGTGAGGGTTCCCACGGGAAGGCTGGGGTTTCTCCTGCCTAGCAAGAGTTTCCTCGTTTGCTCGTGGATACAGTCCTCGCTAGCCTGCGGTGCTCCGACCTCTCGTTCACAGGAACAGCCTCTCAGGGGTGTTAATAGCTTGATAGTAAGGAGGAGAAACATTAATATAAAGTGGTATATTACTGCCAAGAGACTTCCTAATATCCAGGGGAATTATTATGAATAAGAACTTTGAATATTAATAAGGATAACAGTAACATTATCCTATCTATCTATCCCCATACACCCCTCTCATCCTCTCATCTATCTATCTATCTATCTATCCATCTATCCCCATACACCCCCTCATCTATCTATTTATCTATCTATCCCCATACACCCCCTCATCTATCTATCTAGCCCCATACACCCCCTCATCTATCTATCTCCTCACTGCTTTTAATAATATTCTCATATTAATATATACCCATTTATCTAGCTGGCTTTCCCATTGATATGAAGTTTGCTAAATACTTTGTCTCACTGAGGCAGGTTTTCATTCATGTTCATGTTTCCTCATTTACATGATCCTTTTTGCATTAATATTCATATTTATGGTTATTGGTTATTAATATTCATGTCCATGAGACAACGACGCTCCGTGAGACGACAGTCACATGTCTGAAAAGCTATGTCAGGGGGAGCACGGATTTGGCAAACTGCCGGGGTCAGCGGCCGTATATTGCTCTCGATGATGTTATCGTTCTCATTAATATTAACAGCTGTTTAATGAGATTTGCTTATTGTTACTGACGAGTGTCTCATGCGATTACTATAGCCCCGTCTCTAAAATCGGTTTCCTCGTTACATTGACGCTAATATCTTCTCATTTGTTATTCATTGGTTTTCATGACTGTGCATCATTTTCTAATTCATGGTCGACTTTTCTCATTGATCATGTTAGTTATGGGTCAATGTTAAATATGCACCTTCTGGTTTCTTCCCACTTCCCTCTTCGGGGTGGGTGACTTCTGTAGCTTTCTTCCAAAGCTCACGGCTGTACGCCCTGTCGTGCCAATCGGTCTCTCTGGGGTCCCGCAATGTCCAGTCCACGTGCCGAGTCTTTGGCCTTACGCTCGGTCCTCTTCCATCCGTGATCATTGCGAGGGCCCATGTGTCTCTCCAGTGTCCGCTGGCCAGGTCCGTACCGACCTCACCCCCTCGGCTCGTCTTGCATTGGGGGGGCCCCCCGTTCGCCACCTCATTTTGCTCCCTGTCACGGAGCGTCCAACCGTTTGACCATCTGGAGAACGTCCTCACCGTGGCGGAGAGCAGATGCCTGAGTGTCTTTCCCTGTTGCGAGCAATAGCTCAGGGAGACTTTTCCTGGTGGAGAGGCGCTCTCCATTCCTGTTCGCTCATGGCCATTAATATACTTTTCTTCCTCCTCCTCCATCTCCATCACTGGCAGCTTGCACCCCGGTCGCCCATTCTGCACCATCCCCTGCTCATCTCTTTGTGGACGACCCGCCCTTGAGATCCACCCAAGGGAACCACCGCGTCCAGCCAAGAGCTTTTCCCACCCCATGTTCTTCTGCCATCGACTTCCCCTCCAGCGCCCAGAAATCTGCATCTCCTGGCCAACCCCCGACAGCAAATCGGTTTTGCCCTGCGAATCGAACCTCCCTTTTCCTCGAGGGTCTCCGACAAACGCCTGCTGAGTGCCCGTCATCTCCAATGTGATAGCTTCTGATTCTGAACTGCCATGTCTCCTCGGGTGCCCGGCTTAGCTCATGGCTCGACGTCCTGCTCCCGTTACCCCACGTTTCTCCCCGTTCCCCACGCCCCTCGAGGGGGGGGGGGTTCAGAGGTCGTTCGCATCCCGGGTCTTTGCACGTGAGTTTGCAGCGATGGCCCAGGCATCAGAGGGCCGGGTGGGGGTTAGCGTGGTGAGGATTAGGTAATATAGAATAGTCACAGAGTCATAGAAGATTAGGGTTGGAAGGGACCTCAGGAGGTATCTAGTCCAACCCCCTGCTCAAAGCAGGACCAATCCCCAACTCAATCATCCCAGCCAGGGCTTTGTCAAGCCCGACCTTAAAAACTTCTAAAGAAGGAGATTCCACCACCTCCCTAGGGAACCCATTCCAGGGCTTCACCGCCCTCCTAGTGAAATAGTGTTTCCTAACATCCAACCTAGACCTCCCCCACTGCAACTTGAGACCATGGCTCCTCGTTCTGTCATCTGCCAGCACTGAAAACAGCCGAGCCCCATCCTCTCTGGAACCCCCCTTCAGGTAGTTGAAAGCAGCTATCAAATCCCCCCTCATTCTTCTCTTCTGCAGGCTAAACAATCCCAGTTCCCTCAGCCTCTCCTCATAAGTCATGTGTTCCAGTCCCCTAATCATTTTTGTTGCCCTTCGCTGGACTCTCCAATTTATCCACATCCTTCTTGTCGTGTGGGGCCCAAAACTGGACACAGTACTCCAGATGAGGCCTCACCAATGTTGAATAGGGGGAACGATCACGTCCCTCGATCTGCTGGCAATGCCCCTACTTATGCATCCCAAAATGCCACTGGCCTTGGCAACAAGGGCACACTGCTGACTCATATCCAGCTTCTCGTCCACTGTCACCCCTAGGTCCTTTTCTGCAGAACTGCTGCCGAGCCATTCGGTCCCTAGTCTGTAGCGGTGCATGGGATTCTTCCGTCCTAATGGCAGGACTCTGCACTTGTGTGACGAAGTGGGACTGTTCTTAATGTTTCCTCTGAATAGTGTGGGTGTGCCTCAGTTTCCCCTATGCCGTTCTTAAGTATCTAGGTGGTCGGATAAGGGTGTATGATCATTGCAGAGCCCTAGAGGGCAGGTGTGTGCAGGGGTCTGGACACAGAGAAGGGCCAGCACCCTGTTTCCTGGCCACTGATGGCCTGGGCCCTTCCCCGCTGCAAGGTGAGAGCTAAAGGGTTGGAGAACAAAGGACTCAGGTGTCCTCCTGGCCCGGAAAGGAACAAAGCCCAGAGGAGGAGGGGCTGGAGGGATTTTCAGTTTGGGGCTGGCTGGGACATGGAGTGAAGGGCAGACGGGGTTGTCTGGCTCACTGCCCCCCCAGAATGGACCCGGCTGAGGGGTCCCGTTCTCTGCACCTGCAAGCTCTGTGTTAGACCATGTCCCTGTCGTCTAATAAACCTTCTGTTTTACTGGCTGGCTGAGAGTCCCGTCCGACTGCGGAGTTGGGGGGCAGGACCCTCTGGCTTCCCCAGGAGCCCCGCCTGGGCGGATTCGCTGGGGGAAGCGCACGGAGGGGCAGAGGAGGCTGAATGCTCCGAGGTCAGACCCAGGAAGGTGGAGCCGGGTGAGCTGCGTGCCCTGCAGACAGGCTGCTCCCCGAGAGGAGACTCCCCCAGAGTCCTGCCTGGCTTCGTAGGGAGCAGGTCCTGAGCATCGCCCGGGGACCCCGGGACAACTGGTCCTTGTTGAACCTCATCCGATTTCTTTTGGCCCAATCCTCCAATTTGTCTCGGTCCCTCTGGGTCCTGTCCCCACCCTCCCGCGTATCTACCTCTCCCCCCAGCTTGGGGTCACCTGTGAACTTGCTGAGGGTGCAATCCAGTCATGAATCATTATTGTGGCTCATTAATCGTCTGAATATTTCCCCTTATTAATATTCATTTGGCTCATTAATATCCTGTTTCCCATCATTAATCATTCTTTTAGCTTATTAATATGCGGAAGGCTTCACCTCATTCATAGTCATGTGGGCTCATGAATGTTTGTGGGTCGTTCGTTAGCGCTGGGCTGATGGGGGGGAACTGGTGGGTTACGGGCTGTTGGAGGGCAGGGCCCCGCGTGGCAGTGGGGGTGGGGGACGAGCTAGGACGCCTGGGTCCCTCACAGCCCTCTCTCTGTCTCTCTTCTTCTGCCCCCTAGGAGGCTGTTGTGGTGGGGGCGGTGGGGGCCTACGACTGGGCGGGGGGGCTGGAGGAGTGGTCCGGAGACCCTCTCCTCGCCAACTTCATCAATGAGTCCTCACTGGGGCAGGAGGCCAAGGACTCGTACCTGGGTGAGTGACCCCCCCATCCCTTTTCCCCCCTCCCTCACTTACCCCCTTCCCCCCAGCCCCCCCATGCTAACTCTCCCCCCCTCCCCCCGCAGGCTATGCCGTGGCCCTGGCCCGCCAGGGGGGCCGTGTCCTCTACGTGGCTGGAGCCCCCCGGTTTGGGCACGTCGGGCGTGTGGGAGTCTTCCAGCGCAGCGGGGGGCGGGTCAGAGACAGTGTCCTGGGGGAGCAGGTGAGAATCGTGCCCCCCCGTCCGTCTGTCTCTCCTCCACCCCGACACCCATCCGGCTGCCCCCCGCTCCCCTGTCCGTCCCTCACCTCACACCCCTGTCCATCTGTCCATCCATAACCCTTCCCCCACCCGTCTGTCCAGGCCCCCAGTGCCTCCCGCCCCATTCCTCCCTCCGGCTGTGCCCCCAGCCCCTCATCCGTCCGTCTGTCCAGCCCCTCCACACCCTGCATCCGTCCGTCCGTCTGTCTCTCTCCCCCGCCCCAGGTGGGCTCCTCCTTCGGGGCCGAGCTCTGCACCCTGGACCTGGACGGGGACGGCGAGACAGACCTGGTTCTGATCGGGGCCCCCGGCCACCAGAACCGCAGCTGGGGCGGCCTGGTCCAGGTCTGCGCCCTGCGGGACGGGGTGAGCCCGGGGCGGAGATGGGGGGCTGGGGGGGTGGGGCAGGGGGGACCAGGCTGGGGGAAGGTGGGGGTGGCGCTTGGGGGGGAGGGGAGGGATTGGGAGGGGGATGGGTAGAGAGGGTGGGGGTGGGGCTGGGGGGAGATGGGGGGAGATGGGGGGCTGGGGGGAGATGGGGTTGGGGCTTGGGGGGGAGGGGAAGGAAAGGGAGGGGGATGGGTAGAGAGGAGGGAGAGGGAGATGGGCGGAGGGCAGGGCTGGAGGGGGGCGGGGGGACCGGGCTGGGGGGAGACAGGGCTGGGCTCTGATCTGGTCTCTCTCTGCCCTAGGGCTCCCTGAGATGCACCCAGAGGCTGTGGGGGTCCCCGGGGGATGGGCTGGGCCGGTTCGGGGCGGCGCTGGGGCCCCTGGGGGACGTGAACGGGGACGGCGTGAGAGACGTGGCCATCGGGGCCCCCATGGAGGATGAGGGCCAGGGGGCCCTTTACATCTTCCTGGGGGAACCGGGGAGACTGGCCTTGAGAGACCCCCACAGCCAGGTGAGAACCCTGGGGGCTGCGGGTCGGGAGTGAGGGGCCCTGGCAGGGCTGGGGGGTAGGGCTGGGCTGGCAGGGGGCTGCGGATCGGGAGTGAGGGGCACCGACAGAGCTGGGGGGGGCAGGGCAGGGCTGGGCTGGCAGGGGGCTGCGGGTCGGGAGTGAGGGGCACCGACAGGGCTGGGGGGGGCAGGGCTGGGCATGCAGGGGGCTGTGGGTCGGGAGTGAGGGGCCCGGCAGGTTTGGGGGGGCAGGGCTGGGCATGCAGGGGGCTGCGGGTCGGGAGTGAGGGGCACCAGCAGGGCTGGGCGGGGGGCAGGGCTGGGCTAGCGAGGGGGCTGCGGGTCGGGAGTGAGGGGCACCGGCAGAGCTGGGGGGCAGGGCTGGGCTAGCAGGGGGCTGCGGGTCGGGAGTGAGGGGCACCGGCAGGGTTGGGGGGCAGGGCTGGGCTATTGTGGGACTGCGGGTCGGGAGTGAGGGGCACCAGCAGAGCTGGGGGGGGGGTAGAGCTGGGCTGGCAGGGGGCTGTGGGTCGGGAGTGAGGGGCATTGGCGGGGCTGGGGGGCAGGGCTGGGCTAGCGGGGGGCTGCGGGTCGGGAGTGAGGGGCACCGTCCCATCTCTCTCTCCCCCCTCCCCCGCAGCGCGTCTCCGCCCGGTCTCTTTCTCCCGCCCTCCGGTTTTTCGGGCAGTCCGTCCAGGGCCGGCTGGATCTCAGCGGGGACGGACTCACGGACGTGGCTGTTGGGGCCCTGGGCCGGGCCGTGCTGCTCAGGTAGGGGAGAGGCCAGCGGAGGGCACTGCTGCGGGGAAGCTCGCAGTGCTGGGGAAGGGGGGCGGGAATTGGGGCTGCTGGTGCAGGGGCGGGGGGGCGCGTCCGTCTGTCCCGCTCTCTCACTGTCGGCGCGTCTGTCTCCCGGCAGGTCCCGTCCGGTGATCGGCGTCTCCTGCTCTCTGGCGCTGAATCCGGCCCGGATCCCCCTGGACGATGCCGGCTGCACAGGGGGGTTAGGTGCGGGGGCCAGGGGGGTCACCCTGACCCTGTGCTTCAACCTCAGCCAGATCAGCCTGGGGGGGCCAGGTGAGACCCCTCCTCCCTCCGGCGCGTCCCCTCGCCCGGTCCCCCTCCACTCGCTCATTCGTCCCTTCCTCCGTTCCCTCGCTCTCCCGCAGCCCCGCTTCGCGCCCGCGTCTCCTTCACGCTCCAGGTGGATGCTGGGAAATCCAACCCGCGCCTGGTGCTGCACGACGGGACCTCGCAGCTCTTGGAGACCCTGCGGGTCGGCACCAGGCCAGCCTGCGGAACCAAAGCCCTGCACGTCCTGGTAGGACCCCGCTCCCAGCCCCCAGGGCACTGCTGGGTGGGAAGCTCACAGCGCCGGCCGCGAGAGTCCCTAGATGGAGACACTGCTGTGGGGAAGCTTGCAGCACTGAGCAGGGGCAGTCCCTGGCTGGGAGCACAGCTGTGAGGAAGCTCATAGTGCCAGGAGGGGGAGTCCCTGGCTGGGGGCAGGCACGGCTGTGAGGAAGCTCGCAACCCTGGCTGGGGGGAGTCTCTGGCTGGGGGCACTGCTGTGGGGAAGCTCACCGCACTTACCCCTCCCCCCAGCCCTGCCTGGAGGATTTCCTGGCGCCGGTGGAGCTGCAGGTGAATTTCTCGGTCCAAGGGGAGCCGGTCCCGGGCACGCGGGGTCTGACGCCCCTGCTCCTCCCCAGCACCAACACCACCACCCACATACAGGTACCCCCCTCCCGCAGCCTGCCGCCCGGACGCCTGGGTCCCATCCCCTCGCCCGGCCTGCCGCCCGGACGCCTGGGTCCCTCCCCCTCCCGCAGCCTGCCGCCCGGATGCCTGGGTCCCATCCCCTCGCCCGGCCTGCCGCCCCGACGCCTGGGTCCCTCCCCTTCCCCCGGCCTGCCGCCCCGACGCCTGGGTCCCTCCCCTCCCCCGGCCTGCCGCCCCAACGCCTGGGTCCCTCCCCCTCCCCCGGCCTGCCGCCCCGACGCCTGGGTCCCTCCCCCTCCCCCGGCCTGCCGCCCCGACGCCTGGGTCCCTCCCCCTCCCCCGGCCTGCCGCCCCGACGCCTGGGTCCCTTCCCCCCTGTGCACTGAGCCGGACTCCTGAGTCCCAGTCCCAGCGGTGAGTGACCCGGACGCCTGGGTCCCCTCCGGCTACTCTGGGATCTCTTGGCCTTGCAGGTTCCCTTTGAGAAGAACTGCGGGGCAGACGAGGTCTGTGTGGCTGACCTGCGCGTCTCCTTCAACTTCTCGGGGTGAGTGAGACCCGCCCTGGCCAGCGCCCCGCTCCCCATGGCGCCCCCCGCTGGGCAGGCCCGGGCTGGACGCAGTTTGTGCTTTCCAGGTCCCCAGGACTCAGACTGAGCCCCCATTTCCCACTCAACCTGACGGTGCAGCTGGAGAACGTGGGCGAAATCGCTTATGGGCCGGTGCTGACGATCCAGTACCCCCCAGGGCTCTCCTTCCGGGGGGGCTCTGTCCTGCAGGTATCGGGGGGCTGCGGGTCGGGAATGAGGGGCACCGGCAGGGCTGGGGGGCAGGGCTGGGCTGACGGGGGCTGCAGGTCGGGAGTGAGGAGCGCTGTCACTAACGAGCCCTTGTTCTCCCATGTCCCCAGTCCCACTGGCCGGTCTCTCTGGTTTGCGACGTGCCCGGGGCTCCCGGCCGTCTGTCTGTCCTCAACGGTTCCTGCCAGCTCAGCCCCCCGGCCCTGCGGGAGAGAACGAAGGTAAGGGGGGGGGTGTCCGTGCACCGAGCACCCCCGGTCTCAGCACCCCGTGTCTGTGCCCTGCGCCGAGTCTCACTCTTCTCTGGTCTCCTCCCCCAGGTTTTCCTCCGTCTCTCTTTCCACGTCTCCTCTGACACCACCTGGGGGGACGGCCCAGCCTCCTTCACTGTCCGAGCTGACTGGTGCGTTCCTGGCTTTGGGGGGGGGGGAACAAGGGAAGGGGCCCCACAGTGTGTGTGGGGGGGGATGGGAAAGCAAAGGCGAAGGGGTGTCCCCACACGCACCATTCTACCCTCCATCAGTCCATCCATCTGTCCGTCCACCCACCCATCCATCTCCCCCCCATCCATCCCCCATCCATCTCCCCTGCCATCCATCCGTCCACCCATCCGTCCATCTCCCCTGCCATTCACCCACCCATCCATCTCCCCTGTCATCCATCTCCCCTGCCATCCATCTATCCATCCATCTCCCTTGCCATCCATCCATCTCCCCTGCCATCCACCCACCCGTCCATCTCCCCTGCCATCCATCCATCCATCTCCCCTGCCATTCACCCACCCGTCCATCTCCCCTGTCATCCATCTCCCCTGCCATCCATCTATCCATCCATCTCCCCTGCCATCCGTCCATCCATCCATCTCCCTTGCCATCCATCCATCCATCCGTCCATCTCCCCTGCCATCCACCCACCCGTCCATCTCCCCTGCCATCCATCCATCCATCTCCCCTGCCATCCATCCATCCATCCATCCATCCATCCATCCATCCATCCCCTTGCCATCCATCCATCCATCCATCCATCCATCCCCCCATCCATCTCCCCTGCCATCCCATCCGTCCACCCACCCGTCCATCTCCCCTGCCATTCACCCACCCATCCATCTCCACCATCCATCCATCTCCCCTGCCATCCATCCATCCATCCATCCATCTCCCCTGCCATCCATCCATCCATCCATCTCCCTTGCCATCCATCCATCCATCCATCTCCCTTGCCATCCATCCATCCATCTCCCCTGCCATCCATCCGTCCACCCACCCGTCCATCTCCCCTGCCATTCACCCACCCGTCCATCTCCCCTGCCATCCATCTCCCCTGCCATCCATCCGTCCACCCACCCGTCCATCTCCCCTGCCATCCACCCACCCGTCCATCTCCCCCGCCATCCATCTCCCCTGCCATCTATCTCCCCGCCATCCATCTCCCCTGCCATCCACCCGTCCATCTCCCCTGCCATCCATCTCCCCCGCCATCCATCTCCCCATCCATCCATCCATCCATCTCCCCTGCCATCCATCCATCCATCCATCCATCTCCCCTGCCATCCATCCATCCATCTCTCCTGCCATCTACCCATCCATCTCCCCTGCCATCCATCTCTCCTGCCATCCACCCATCCATCTTCCCTGCCATCCATCTCTGCTGCCATCTACCCATCCATCTCCCCTGCCATCCATCTCTCCTGCCATCCACCCATCCATCTCCCCTGCTATCCACCCATCCCCAACACACGTCCGTCCATCCATCCCGTGTGTCCAGGGAGCCTGGGGCAGCCCATGCTGGACATGCACAGGGCAGGCTGCAGAAGGGGGAGCAGATCCTCCCAGCGACGGGTGGGTAACACTGACGTTCAACTCCCCAACCCGTCACACATGGAGCTCCTGATCCCCCACCCTGGTTATCGAGAAGCTGAAAAAAGCAGCCACCCAGCCCCCTTTCCTGCCGTCCCATTCTCTGGTCCCAACCAGCACCGAGCTCCAGTCCAGGGAGAAGTTATCTAAAAACTCTGCTCATGCTACCAAATGTTCTTCTGACCCCGGGGCCAGCCACGTTGCCAGGTCAATATAGGTTTGGATCTTTCCCAAAATACCAACCTGCCGGCCAGTCCTTTCCTCTGTAAACCTAAAGGTTTAGTAGAAAAGAGAGACCGGGAAGAGCGACGTGAGATGGTAGAGCCCTCAGAGACGCACGGAGATTTCCCAGGCCGTAGATCAGGTTCGTAGCCGTGCCGGTGAGGCTGCTGGCTTGAGAGTCCCCCTGGAGTCACCCGCCGCTGGGATGGGTCAGTCAGTCCCTTGCTCAGAGCTTCGGTCTGTGGAGAAGGGAGTCCAGAGGCGGGAAGCAGGACTGGAGACAAAATGGAGAAGATGCAGCTGCCTGTTCTGTCCTTTGCCACGTGGTTTGTGCTTCCTCTGTCCCCAACACAAGCTCGGGGCACGGGGGCATGGAGAAGCCCCGCAGCCCCCTGTGCACAGGCCTGTCCCTACATGTCCTGCTGGCTCCTAGCTGCATCCCTCGGCCTCTCTCAATGGGTCCATGGTACAGCTGACGCCCCTGGGTGGGCCATGGGGCAGGCCAGGCAGGGCTGGTGCCAATCTGTCCGGGGGTGTCGCCCTGACCCACAGCCCGTGTTCGGAAATACAGATCTGCCCCACCTACCTGTAACCTGCCAGACACGGGTGATGCGCACGGAGAAAGAAGCTGAGCGTACCTGGCAAATCGCGGCCTCTTCGCTGTGGCTGGCCGTGGCCTCTCCGGGCAGATTCCCTGCGGTGACGGGCCGTCGATAATCCGACGACAGCTTCTCTCCCGTATGCGCCTCTGGCCCCCAACACCCGTCCGTCCGTCCTGCCTGCCTCTAGCCCCCCATCCCTCCACCCCCCGCTGGCTCTGCTCCCCCTTCCCTCTGTGCACACAGAGGTTTGCCAGCTGTGTGGGGAGGGGTCCCGGGGCCAGAGGGGGCCGGGGGGGCAGGTCCCGACCCGGGGCTGATCCGAACCACTTTCCCTCTTTCCCCTGCAGTCAGAATGAGAACGGGACCCTGGCGGACAACGCAGCCACGCGGGAGCTGCCGGTTCTGCGCCCGGTCGGGGTCGTCGTGACCGGGTACCCCCCCCCAATTTCCCCTCCCCCCCCCGCTCCTCGTGCCCCGGCAGGCCCCTTTCCATGGGGGGCTGGGGTCCTCACAGACACTGACCCCCCCGCGTCTCCCCCAGGTTGGATTCGAGCACCTACGTCAGCGTCCCGTCGGAGCTGCCGGCGTGCCAAGCCATCGCCCACCGCTACCAGGTGACCGGCCGGCTGAGACCGGGCCCGCTCGGCGCAGCAATATCTGCGTACGCCGAGCTCCCGTCTGTCTTCTCCGCCTTTAACGCCGTCCCTCTTCCCCCCGCCCCCCCAGGTGCAGAATTTGGGGCCCCCCACTGTGCCCGTCACTGTGACCTTTGAACTCCCCATCCGGGCCGAACTCGGCTTCATCTGGGACGTATCTGTGAACCTCAGCAGTGGGGTGAGTGGGACGGAGGAGAGTGGGGTCTAGGGGTTACAGCCGGGGTGGGGCTGGGAGCCAGGACTCCTGGGTTCTCTCCTGGAATAACCTTCTCCATTGCCTGGTAGGAACATGGGTTCACATGCACCCAGCCTCTGACGCTCCGAATGGGGGCTGCCGCCCAGACCCCAAAGGAACCAGTGACAGTAAGATCAGAGCTGAGATGCAGCCACTTCTGGGGCTGGGCACACGGGGACCCCTCGCCCGGCGCTGGGACGCGGCCCCTCTGGGTGGGGGGGCTGGGCACACGGGGACCCTTCGCCCAGCCTGGGACGCGGCCCCTCTGGGTGGGGGGGGCTGGGCACACGGGGACCCCTTGCCCGGCACTGGGACGCGGCCCCTCTGGGTGGGGGGGGCTGGGCACACGGGGACCCTTCGCCCGGCCTGGGACGCGGCCCCTCTGGGTGGGGGGGCTGGGCACACGGGGACCCCTTGCCCGGCGCTGGGACGCGGCCCCTCTGGGTGGGGGGGCTGGGCACACGGGGACCCTTCGCCCAGCCTGGGACGCGGCCCCTCTGGGTGGGGGGGCTGGGCACACGGGGACCCCTTGCCCGGCGCTGGGACGCGGCCCCTCTGGGTGGGGGGCTGGGCACACGGGGACCCTTCGCCCGGCCTGGGACGCGGCCCCTCTGGGTGGGGGGCTGGGCACACGGGGACCCCTTGCCCGGCGCTGGGACGCAGCCCCTCTGGGTGGGGGGGACTGGGCACACGGGGACCCCTTGCCCGGTGCTGGGATGCGGCCCCTCTGGGTGGGGGGGGCTGGGCACACGGGGACCCTTGCCCAGCCTGGGACGCGGCCCCTCTGGGTGGGGGGCTGGGCACACGGGGACCCCTTGCCCGGCGCTGGGACGAGTCCCCTCTGGGTTGGGGGGCTGGGCACACGGGGACCCCTTGCCCGGCCTGGGACGCGGCCCCTCTGGGTGGGGGGGGGCTGGGCACACGGGGACCCCTCGCCCGGTGCTGGGACGCGGCCCCTCTGGGGAGGAGCGGCTGTTTCCCGGCGCTTTGGGACAGGCGGTGGAGTCTGACTCTGGTTCCCTCTGCTCCCAGCGCGGGTGTCTAGGGGCGTCTGTCTGCACCCGGGTCCGGTGTCAGGTGGCCTCCCTGGCCGGTGGAGAATCCCGCAGCTTTAACTTCTCCGGGGAGCTGCGTAGGCCGGAGGACGGAGCTCAGGTACGCCCGGCGGGGGGCGCCCGCTGCGGGCGCGATGGGGCCACGCTGCCCCCCGCTGTCCCCACAGCTTACCCCCCTCTCTGTCCGTCTGTCCTCAAGCTGGAAGCCCGCAAAGTCTGGCTCCGCAGCGAAGCAGCCGTCAGCATCGACGAGACCAAATACTTCCAGATCCAGCCAGAGGAATTCCAGTACAGCCAGGTACGGGGAGCCAGGACGCCTGGGTTCTCTCCCGGCTCTGGAAGGGAAGTGGGGTCTAGTGGTTAGAGCCGGGGGCTGGGAGCCAGGACTCCTGGGGCCCCTCCCTGCTCTGGGAGGGGAGTGGGGTCTGGTGGGTTATGGCTGGGAGCCAGGACTCCTGGGTTCTCTCCTGGCTCTGGGAGGGAAGTGGGGTCTAGTTGTTAGAACAAGGGGGGCTGGGAGCCAGGACTCCTGGGTTCTCTCCCCTAACCATGTCTCTCCTCAGATCACCACGGAGGTGGAGATAATTTCCCACTTCAATCCGGTCCCGGTGATTATCGGCAGCTCCATTGGGGGCGTCCTGCTTCTCGCCGTAATGGTCGGGCTCCTGTATAAGGTGCGTGTCCCCTCCCCAGCTCCTTGGCTGGCCTGACACCGGCCTGTCTGTCTGTCCATCCGTCCATCGGCCGCCCTCCCTCTAACACCCCTCCCCCCACTCTTCTCTCTCCCCCAGTTCGGCTTCTTCAAGCGGAATCGGCCCATGGCCCCGGAGGAGACCCCAGGAGGGGAGACTGTGTCTGGGGGTCCGCAGGAAAACAACGCCCTGCCGGAGCCCCCCGCCACGCAGGGATCCACTGACCCCGAGGGGGTGTCGTGACACTGCAGCGGGGGGGCTGGGAGCCAGGACTCCTGGGTTCTCTCCCCAGCTCTGGGAAGGGAGTGGGGTCTGGTGGGTAGAGCAGTGGGGGTTGGGAGCCAGGACTCCTGGGTTCTATCCCCGGCTCTGGGAAGGGAGTGGGGTCTGGTGGGTTAGAGCAGGGGGGGCTGGGAGCCAGGACTCCTGGGTTCTCTCCCCAGCTCTGGGAAGGGAGTGGGGTCTAGTGGTTAGAGCTGGGGGGCTGGGAGCCAGGACTCCTGGGTTCTATCCCCGGCTCTGGGAAGGGAGTGGTGTCTAGTGGTTAGAGCTGGGGGGCGGACGGACTGGGAGCCAGGATTCCTGGGTTCTCTCCCCAGCCGTGGGAGGGGAATGTTCTCATTTCTGAAAGTGTCTTTTGTCTGATTATTTTGTTCCAGTTTCTGCTTTGTGGTTTTCTTTGTTTTTAAACCGGAGGAAAAAACTGGAGACAAAACTGCTTTGGTCACTAATTTCTTTGGTCACTAATTTCTACCATGAACTCCTGTTTCTATCACTCTCTCGGCTTCGTTGGCGCATGACGGGACCAGGGGGCAATTACGCCGACCTCCCTTCGGCGCTGAGCGTTTGCCCAAGGCCTGCCACCGGCCGCCGGGTTGGTTATTTTATTGCGTCGCGTAGGAGCTCGAAAGCATGAAAGGCCCCCGCAGATCCAGGCTGCGGGCTCTGCCCTGCCCCTCTCACGGCGAGGAGAGTGGGGTTCAGCTCCCCCAGAGCCAGCTCACGTCTACCTGCGGCCCATTTAAGGTCGTCCCCCAAATTCTGCAGCAAGGTCCCATCTCAAGCGGCTCTAAAATCCACACGCCGCGTCAGATCGACCTGACCATTGCTGTGCTGGGAGGAGACGCCAGGTGGAATATGGGGTGCAAATTTGGGGTTGATTAGTCCAGGGGTTCAGGAGATACAGTCCCTCCCCCAAAATTGGTCTGCTCTGGATAGACTTTCGGGGGCAAATATGGGGCTGTAGTCTAGGGGGTTCAGATTGTTGCCCCACAAAAGCCTTGGCCAGTAGTAGGCACTGGATAGCATTTGGGGTGCTAAGTTGGGGTTCAGTAATTCAGGGGTTCTGTAGATCCTGCCCCCCCGAAACTGCCAGGCTGGTAGTAGGCACTGGATAGCATTTGGGGTGCAAATGTCAAGTTAGCGAATCCAGGGGGTCAGGAGATACAGCCCCTCCCCTGGCAAACGCCCCGTCTTTAAAATATTCGGGTTCCCTGTGTGTTTTCTCAGGACCATCCACCGGCAACGGGTCTCCCACGATTCGCCCGGACCTGAGCCAGCGACTCTCCGCCAGAGCCGGCCCCGGGAGCCCGGCGTTGGGAAGCCGCTGGGCTTTCTCCCTGCCGTCCCCGCGGGCCGGGCGCCGCGATTATGTCAGAGCCGCGGGGTGGCTGTGGGCAGCCGCGGAGCCGCGAACGTGGCAGAGCCCGACCGTCGCCCCCCCCGGCCCGAAATGGCAAGATCATGAACCAGGCGCTGGCCAGCGGGTCCTGGGATCTGGCGGGGCCGCGGGTTGCCCGGTGTCGTGCCAGCCGGGGTCGAAGACGGGGTGGTCGGGGGCGCTGTGGAAGGGGAGCAGGCGGATCGGGGGCGTTGGGATGACCAGCTCCTCGGGCTGGAGCGGACGGTCTTCGTGAAACTCCCGCATTTCACCTGCTTCCTGTCCGGCGAGATCTCCAGCAGGGGATGGGCCGTGGCTGGGTCCAGGGTTAGACCCTCCTCTGCTGGGAAAGGCAGAGCGGGGGGCTGGAGGGGCCACGCTGGGTTTATGGGGCTGTTCCCCACCCTTGGCAGGGGCCACACGAATCCCGCCTTGGAGCCTGTCTCCCAGCAGAGCTCGCCCAGCAGGGTCCGGCTGGGATTGTGCTTGGAGGGGAGACCCCCCAGGGTGCTGCAGGGACTAGCGTGAGGGCAGGACCCCCCCCCCCCGGCAGTCAGGGCTCGCCCCAGTGTCCCAGCTGTGCAGCTGTTCCCCAGCTGCCCTGCCCCAGAGGTGGCTGCATCTCAGCGCCGGGTGAGCTGTCCCCATGTGATGTTATACGCAGCTGTTCCCCAGCTGCCCCACCCCAGAGGTGGCTGCATCTCAGCGCCGGGTGAGCTGTCCCCATGTGATGTTATACGCAGCTGTTCCCCAGCTGCCCCACCCCAGAGGTGGCTGCATCTCAGCGCCAGGTGAGCTGTCCCCATGTGATGTTATACGCAGCTGTTCCCCAGCTGCCCCACCCCAGAGGTGGCTGCATCGCAGCGACTTTGCTCCCCAAGTCCCCGCTTTGTGTCTCCCTGTTTGCAGTGGGTAGGAAGGGGACTAACCCCGGGGGGGGGGGGGCGTCTGTTTGGGATGAAGCCAGCAGCGGGCTGGGAGCAGTAGCGCCCCCTACTGCAGGGGAGAGGCCGTGTGATGCGGAAATGTGCCCAGTGAACCACCCTGCTGCGAAGGAGCAGGAGTCCTGGCCTGGTCCCCTGACTCCTGCTGCGATCGGTTACCCCGACGGGTCATTCAGCGGCACGGGGGCGGAGGGCAGCTATATTGGGGAAGTCTGGTTTACCCGGGGAGAGCTTTTTTTCAAACTGGTACCGGAGACTTCACGGTGGGCAGGGGAGCTTTGATCCAGCCGGCTGGGAGCTGACCGACGCAGCGGAGCGAGGAAGGGGCCTGCCCCGGAGGCTGGTCCCCGGGTGATGCTGTGGCCCAAGTCACCTGGCAGAAGAGGGCGCGGGCGGGGCAGGGATGCGGCAGGGCTGGGTTTGTGATCGTGTCTTTGCAAGCCGTGGGTGCGTTTGCTCCTGACGTCCGTGACACGTTGATTCTGGGGGGCAGATTCCAGGGAACTGGGCCCGGATGCTTCCTTGGCTGGGGGCCAATAAGAGCTGAGAAATTATTCCCTCTACTGTGACGAAGTGGGACTTCTCGGTCGTATTTCTCTGATGCCGCTGCATGCCTCAGTTTCCCTCCGGACTTTGCACGGCTGGCCGGTGGTCGCAACGAGAGTTAAAAAGCTGAGGCAGGAGCCGCGAGGGGGGCGTGGAGTAGCCGAAACCGGCCCAAAGCGAGGGAGGAACCGGAGAACCCAAAGGGAGCCCAGCGGCTGAGTGGGTGGTACCGCCCCGTGGGACGTGCCGGCAGGGCCGAGCGCGTGATCCCAGCGTGGGTCGGCAGGAAGGGGAGAGGGGCTGGCTTCTGAGAGACCCAGCCGCTGTTACCCTGGGGGCTGGGGACAGGCTGGGACACGACGGATGTCGCCTCCGGGGGGAAGCAGGCCTGAAAGGCTCCGAAATCAGGTCTTGCTCTGGGTGGGGGCAAGAGGGGGTGGAGATGAAAGGAGGGGTCGAGGGAGGAGACAGCGATAACAGGGGGAGGTGAATGGGAGCAGCGGTAATGAACGTGCAAGTGAATAATGAACCCCAAAGCACTAAATGGATCCCGGCTGAGATCAGGGCCCTTATTGTGCAGTGATTTGGACAGAACCCAGGAGTCCTGGTTCCCAGGCCCCCCTGCTCTAACCACTAGACCCCACTCCCCTTCCAGAGCGGGCAAGAGAACCCAGGAGTCCTGGCTCCCAGCCCCCCTCCTCTAACCCACCAGCCCCCGCTCCCCTCCCAGAGCGGGCAAGAGAACCCAGGAGTCCTGGCTCCCAGCCCCCCTCCTCTAACCCACCAGCCCCCGCTCCCCTCCCAGAGCTGGGATAGAACCCAGGAGTCCTGGCTCCCAGCCCCCTCCTCTAACCCACTGCCCCTGCTCCCCTCCCAGAGCTGGGATAGAACCAGAGTCCTGGTTCCCAGCCCCCCTGCTCTAACCCACCAGCCCCCGCTCCCCTCCCAGAGCTGGGATAGAACCCAGGAGTCCTGGCTCCCAGCCCCCCTGCTCTAACCCACCAGCCCCCACTCCCCTCCCAGAGCCAGAGCCGGGATAGAACCCAGGAGTCCTGGCTCCCAGCCCCCCCCAGCTCTAACCCACTGACTCTGGCCTCAGCAGCATGCAGTGGCAGGGAGTTCCCCAGGACACGCTCATGCGGCGCAGGGGAGGCTTCCTCCAGTGCCCCCTCGTTCAGGTGTCCCAGGAGAGGGAGAACAGCAGCCCCCCCCATCTGTCTTTTCTATTCCATCCATTTGTGGAGAATGCTGGGGCGGGGAAACTATCATTTTAGGAACACTAGGCGTGACTCAGTTTCCCCACCCACTGTGTACGGCTACCCACGAGGCTACGTTCTTCTCTGGGGCCAGGGCTCGGTGCTGGAAGCCTGGACGCAGGCGCAGCTGGGTACGAATGATCGATCAGAGCTCCCCAACACGTGAGTGACGATTACGGGAGACTCGGGGCCACGGACATCAGGAAACCCTCGGCCACTGGGGCAGCTGCTTCCGCCTCTGTCGCCGGCCCTGGGCGTTCCCGAGTCACAGCCCTGCGGAGCAGGAGACGACTCAGTGTCCTGCATGGCCACAGCCCCCACGGCGGATCGTCCGGCACCCCCACGATTTCCCACAGGCCGGCAGCAAGCCGGTTTCCACAGGGCGATCGCCGTTGGTGTCTCCACTGTGCGGGCCGCTCTCGCGCCGGCGTCCCCCAAAGCTCTGTGGCTGCGGCTCGTGGGCCCAAGCCGGCCCACCGCTGCCATGGGGCCCGTCAGGGCTTGATCCTCAGGCTCCGTCCGCAGCTGCTCCGGGGATGCCAAGAGCACCCTTGAATTCTTTTCATTGTGTCCCTCAGCCAATTGCCCTCGAAGGAAACCCCGCGTCCCCCTGTGTCGGGGCTCATCCTGCAGGGCTGTGAACGCCAGAGGCTCGCCCGCCCGGGATCTGCCACGTAACGGTCACGGGAGCAGGGAAGGGGCTGCGCGGGATCCAAGCTTCTTGTGGCGATGGTGGCCACCGAAAAGTACCGCCCGGGTTGGGGCAGCTGTTGAAAAGAGGTGTGAAAATGGTGGCGGGGGGCAGGGGGGGGATGCTTATGCGGCGATCATTACAGCAAACGGGGAAAGTCTACCCCCTTTGGTGGCCATCGTGGATTTCAACACTGAGCAACGGCATCTAGGTTTATGCTCGTACAATCAATCCACCTTTCATGTGGACTGCTGGCAGCTGGTGGCCCTCAGGGCCCCCACAGAATATTTTGAGGCCACAGCTGCTCCCTCAATTTCATACAGACATGACGAAAAGGGAACACGGCAGAGTGGGCCCATCCCGGAACGGGCCGCTCCCATACTCCGGGCAAGGGAGATGCTCTCCTGATGGGCAGTGACCTCTGTGAAACGGTGGATCGCACTCCCTCAGATGGGACCCGCCGTCAGATAGAGGTACTTGGGGCTGAGCATATCACATGCCCTGAGGAAGCTGTTCCAGACAGACAGAGGGGGCTTCTGTGGCAGATTTCTGTTACCAATCTGCCTGGGGTGTCAGGTGATCAGGCTGAGGCCGCAGGATCCTTAAGGGAGGAGATGACGGAACACGCCAAGCGTCGAAGT